TCTATCAACATGGAGAATGTAACAATGTTGAACTATAGGGACAAATAAATTATAAAACACTAAGAATATAATATATCAAATTTATTCATAATTTCATCAACACAAATAATTAAAGAATAATAATAAACTAAGTAGGAAACAATTGGCTTGAATAATGAGATGTATGTAAGCATCGTCCTAAAGTAGTATGACCTTCTTACGTACTGTTCTAAAGTCGTGTGGCCTTCCTATGTAGGTGATAGCTACAAGCCATATTGATAAATGGTCTTCTAATTTTCAGACATGTTGAAAGAGAGACAAAGTTGTATTAGTTTGTTTTTAAAAATGCCCAAACACAATATAAAAAACTCTAAGAGTATCTCCAGCGGTCTGTTAAAAAATCATTTTATGCAAAATATACATTGCCATATGTGATTTATAAATTTTTTTCTTCTCCAGCAGTCTGTTAAGATACACTGCCACATCACCAATGTGTAAAAGGGTTATGTATTTTACACAGCCCTTTTACACAGCCACGTAAACATATTTTCTCTTTCTTCTTTCTCATTCCTTTACACCTCTTTATTTCCCACTTTTAGAACGCCTTAGATAAGAATCTACAACTCGTGGCAAGGTAAGAAACGATCTTTTATTTTTATTTTTTCTTTTTTAATAAAAGTAGTTTGATTCATCACTTTCGTTTCATCTCATCTTCTATAATCATCGCCATAGATTCTAGTATATATTTTAATCACGATTTTATATAATTATTGTTTGATATAGTTATACATTTTTTTTTTCTTTTTTGGTGATTAATCAATTCAATCGCAATTGTTTTTGCATATTTTTTGTTTATGTAGAAAGTGAAATATAGGAGGAAATTATTAGTTTTTTCCTAATTGAGAAGGGATTGAGACGTGAGGTTTAATCGCGAAAAAGTAAATGAATAAAATAGGTTTGTAAAAGTTATGTATGGCCTTGGGTATGACACGTGGTTGGTTGTTATTGGGGGATAGTTTTTTTACACAAAACGTATAAAACAACCGCTGAAACTAAAAATAGTTAGTACAAATTTTTTGTGTAAATCTACTCTAACACATCAGATTTACACAAAAAATTTTAATAGACCGTTGGAGATGCTCTAAAAATCAAGGAACAAAAATATTAGAAGTAAAATTTCTAGGAATAATAGACTCGCAGTCTTCCACAACTCACCCAAAAAAGTCACAATGGCCGATGATCTTTTTTATAGACTTAAAAACGTCAATATAATATTAAAATAATGTAAGATGATAATAAATAATAATAATAAGAAGAATAATAATGATTTAATTATAGGGTTAAAATCATAAAATTCTCATCTATTATCAAAATCGTGCATAAAACCCATATTATAGTTAAAAAAATCCCTATACTAATAAAACTTATCAAGTTATTCCTAAACCAGTGACCGGCCCATTAAATAGGTTGTAAAATGTAAAATTTAACTTTGCTATTTAATATAAAATAATAAACTATAATTATTATTTTAAAATTACAAAAATAATATTGAGGGTGAGAAATAAGTTATCTATAAATGCGCATAAAGTAATGACTATAACTTTTAATTTAATATTAAATAGCAAAGTCAAATTTGACATTTCACAATCAATTTAACGGTTTGTCACGAATTTGAGGTAACTCGATAAGTTTGTTAGTTCAGTGATTTTTTTAATTCTGTCGAAATTTTATGCACAATTTTAAAAATAGAGATACGTTTATGATTTTAATTCTTAATTATATCATAATCTATAAGGCTACGTTTAGTGTGTATGAATGGAATGAGAATGAGAATGGAATGGAATGAGTATTACCATTCTAATGTTTGGTGTGACACGGTGAATTGTTATGGAATGGAATGATTATTACCATTCTATTGTTTGGTTGACTATCATTAAATATGGAATGGAATGATTTTTCTCAAAAATATCCTTTTCATTATTTTTTAATAAAATCAATCTAATTAATATTCTGTCAATACAATTTTCTCCAAAAACGGGTTGAATACTTAACCTAAGAAGCTAATGTAAAGGCTAATATATATATATATATATATATATATATATATATATATATATATATCATTAATATATATATATTATTTATTTAATGATATATCAATCTCAATAATATATAAATATATATATATAAAAAATATGGTTGAAGGTTCTGTAACTTTTTGTCAATGGCAGCTCTAAGTATATTCAGAAGAGAGGGAAGATGAAAGATCTTTATCACGTCTAACAAAGAGCTCGAGAAACGTGAAAAATGGAAAGATTTTTGGTCTATGCAAAATATTTTTGCCTTATTGAAATGTGATGAAGGGCTTATTGGGAATATTACAAAAATATTTAATTTTACTATAGAATGAAATGGCCATTCCATAGGTTTAGTAATGGAATGGATTTTCATTCCTTGAAATGGATTTTCATTCTATTGGAATGGTCATTTCATTCCATCCCTGCACACCAGACAAATGAATGGTTGGAATGAGCATTACATTCCATTCCATTCCTACACACCAAACATAGCATAATAATAATATCTTAATAGTATTTATGTAGCAATATATATAAAACACAATACACAGGCCCTAAGTTCAAGTTTTTTAAAATAGAAAATATTACAGCTTAATAGTAATATCATCTTATTGTACAAGTACATGGTAGATGCCTCAAAGTTCTGTAGATTAGTCTTTGGTGAATTTTAGAGTGTCATATTTCGACTCTGGTTATCTACTCATTTAACTTCTAACACTTCTCATCTTGAAAAAAAAATAAAATAAATAATATGAAAATACCTTTACTAATCCAACTTAAAAATTGTACAAGTATACGAGAGCTCACTCACATACACACATACACATAAATGATTGAATTTCATTCAATTTAAAAAACATACATGCATGTATTAAATGAATCAGAGATGACACGTTAAAATGTTTTAAATTTCCCTTTTAAAACATTTTTTTTTTTTATATATAATTTCTCTCTCAAATATTTTATCCTCCACTAATCTCTCTCAACAAATTCATTAAAATGAAAGAAAATATTACATTGTAAAGAAATGGAAAATAGATGATATCTGATTGAATATAAAGGATAAATAAAAAAAGAAAAAAGAAAATGACAGTATTAATTTTTAATCGCGATTGAAAAGAAATAAAACAAAACTATTTTTATTGAATATATATATATATATTATTTCATAATTTGATAACAACACACTATAAAACTTTCGGTAAATTTCACTCAGACCCCCCGAGGTTAGGTCATTTTTCAGTTAGATGAGAATTTTGGTTCTAGATTTCACTTATATTTGAATTAGTGGTTTAACATTTCACTTACACCCTAAATGTCAATTTTTGATGGGGTCATAGTACTTTTGAGGTGTTAAATGACTATGCTACCCTTTGACCTTCCATTGACTATTTTTGTGACTAAAATACCCAACATGCACCTTCCTCTTCTTCCTCCACATACCATCATCATCCCCAATTCACGCCGGACAAAACCACCGCACCACTCCTCAAAATTACACACACATATATATCTATATAGAAACATACACACACACACACACACACACACACACACACACACAAATAGTATATATATAGATATATTCACACAAAATTATTAACATATATAGAATCATAGATATATACACACATACAAAACAGACAGGAGCCAGTTAGCCCGATCGATGATGGGGATTTGAGTTGTGGATTAGAGGTGGCGGTGGCTAGGCGAAGTCGAAGACGTGTAGGTGGCGACACTCAACTCGCCGACCTCCCAACCCTATTTAATTCGCCTCCCAACTGACGTTGATCTCAAGACCCAACACCATTGACGCCACTCCTCTACCAAGAAGAAGCATAGTGCCGGAAAAACCCAAATCCTATCTATCACCGATTCGATTTACCGTTTTGACAGGCCTGAAATACCTTTTGTGAATCACTATATGGTCCTTCCAATTCAACCCAACGTACCCAAACGCCACTTCGTCGCCACCACGTAGTCATCGGGGCTCTCCTGCTGTAGCATCATCCACATCGCCTCCAGAAGCATGGCTTCCCAGGCCTGCTCACTGCCATCACCTTCCTAGCCGTGCACATCCATCATCGCCATCAATCATCGCTGCCATAACACCGCGAGCCGCCGTCTTCATCACGGCTGAGTTCAATCCAGCCGATTCCACCGCCCTTGCTCATAACCGCTGTGAGATCTCATTGGTCGCTCACCCATCGCCGGATCCATCGCCCCCGGTGGGTTCTTCTCCATCCACCGATCTTTTTCTTCACGGCCAAGTTTCAAACCAGCATCATCTTCGCCCACCTTTGCCGCAAACCACCAGCCGAGCCCATCTCCTCATCCGTCCACGGCCGAGTACGTCTCCTCCGACGTCCACGGTCGAGCCCGTCTCCACTAGCATCCACGGCCGAGCCCGTCTACACCGGCTGAACTAGCCCATCGTTGAATCACCATCAGTCCAGCCAAGCTTCATCACAGCCAAAGCCACCGCTAAAGCAATCGAGCTTCATCACCGAAATGAGAGAGTAGCATCGGCGGGCGGAGATGATAGTGTAGAGGAGACCTGAGAGGACGCCGGCGTTGATTCCGTCAGATCTCCGTAACTCTGATCCGCCAGAGGTGTTAAGGGTGGGGCGGCAGTTGAATATATATATATATATATATATATATATATATATATATATATATATATATGGGTCTTTTTATCATTTAAGATTATATATATTTCGTATTAAAAAAATTAAGAGTAAAATGGTCAATTCACATGTATCAGATGTTAAAAAGTAAAAAAGTAAATTAGGATATAAGTGAAAGTTAAAATCAAAATTCTCATTTAGCTGAAAAATGACCTAATCTTGTGGGGTCTGAGTGAAATTTACCTATCCCTTGTCTTTCCTTTAAACTAACTTATTTATTTTTTACTATTATATTACTCCGGATTATTTTTGCCTAAAAATTTGATCACTCTCTCACAGCCGCAAACAATCAACAACTAACATGGGGACGTTAGAAAGATTTATGCACAGAAGCCTCTTCCAAATCCACATCTCTTTTCAATCTCCAATTCGTTTCGGCCCATTCAACTCAACCACGCAAAGGAGATGGAAGAAACCAGTAGTCACCGCACAGGTCCGCTTAGAAGACCGAACCAGAGACCCCAAGCTCGACCAGCTCAGGTTTCGTCTCAACCAAATGGCACTCGTCCTCAAACTCCACCAATTTATGTCCACTCGAAAACGAGGCCCTTTCGTCTCCGTACAAATTATGTCTCGATGGACCAACATCGTCGGCATCAACATCGGCATCGGTGCTTTCCTCCGGAAATTCCCCCATGTGTTCGACGTATTTACGCACCCAATAAGGAGGAATATATGCTGTAAATTTACTCGAGAAGTGAACGATTTGATAAATGAAGAAAAAAGTGTTATTGGGAAATTGGAATTAGAAAATGTTAAGCGAGTGAAGAAGCTTTTGATGATGTCTATAAATGGGTCACTTCACATTCATGCTTTGAGGCTGATTAGGAGAGAATTGGGTTTGCCAGAGGATTTTCGGGATTCGATACTTCAGAAGTATTCGGATGACTTTAAGTTAGTTGATTTAGAGGTTGTGGCTTTGGTTGATAGAGATGAGGATCTGGGTGTGGCGGAGGTGGAGAAGTGGAGAGAGAAGGAGTACAGAGAGAAATGGTTGAGTGAGTTTGAAACCAAGTTCGCATTTCCTATTAATTTCCCTACTGGGTTTAAGATTGAAGCGGGTTTTAGAGAGAGATTGAAGAATTGGCAAAGGCTTTCTTATACAAAGCCTTATGAGAAGAAGGAGGTTGTTCGGGTGCGCACTTGCGGAGGGATTGAGAGGTTTGAGAAGCGAGCTGTGGGGATTCTTCACGAGCTCTTGAGCTTGACGGTGGAGAAAATGGTTGAGATTGCACGGTTAGCACACTTCCGGAAGGATTTTGGTATTGAAATTAATGTGCTTGAGCTTATTTTGAGGCATCCGGGAATATTTTATATATCTACCAAAGGAAAAAGCCAAACAGTTTTTCTAAGAGAATCCTATAGTAAAGGGTGTTTGATCGAGCCAAACCCAATTCATAATGTTCGAAGGAAAATGTTGGACCTTCTATTATTGGGACGTAGAAATACTAAAACGATGAGAACAAATAAGGAATTCAAGGAAATTGAGGGGGTGATTAGTAATGAGGTAGCGTGCAATGAGAATGAAGGTGGAACAAGGGATGGTGAATGGGTTATTCCATTTTTAGAGTTTTCTGATGATCAAAATCACAAGGATGATCTGATGGAGCTTAATGAGAATGAAAGCAGATCAAGTGGGGGTGTTGAGTAATAATTTGCATTTGCCATAGGCTTATATTGATTAAAATGTGATAATCTTCTCTGCAACAGTGCATTAGATTGTTGCTTGCTACTTCTGTGGACATCTACAAGGTTGCTTACAAGTTACAAGTTACAACAATTGGCTGCTAAAGCTTATACTGACCAGGAGGCTGGCAAGAGATGGAATGGAATGAATTTTGGTCTTTGCTAATTTGATTTCAATCCTTTTTTGTTCTCAACGGTATCAAGAAACAATATTTTTCCATTATCAATTTGTCTAACTTGTTATACATAGATTGCTATGACAACTTTTTAGCTTATCCACTACTTTACTTTACATTTCATTTCTTCTTCTTCTTCTTATTATTATTATTATTTTTTTGTGTGTGTGTGTAAATCTTAATGATATCCTTTTCATGAATAGAACTCACATCTTTTTGTGTAACCAATGAATCTAGTTGTTGCATATTCAAATATGGGTTCATCATAAGTCAAAAAATTAGTGACTATGTTTTTCCAAACTCTGAAGATCCTTTTTTGATATAAGAATGGGATTAATGATAATGTATTATTTTCAATAGGAATTTGATGTAATTAGAGTTACTTTTTCATTATTTTGGTAATGTTGTAATTTTAATGATATTTGAGTACTTTTTATTTTAGAGTTTCTCAGGGTTTGTTTATACTTTGCCTGTATAAAGGCTATTATATAATCAATGGAATGCTATCGTGATTTCAGAATCAACCCTTGAGTCGTGCTGTCTATATTTTCAGTTTGTCCCTTCATTTGTCTTCTCTTCTCCTTCTTCTAGCCTGGTCTCATCTTCTGTCTTCTCATCCCTTCTTTCTGATTTTACATTTATTGGAATCAAATTAACCTGGTTTTACATCAAGCGATGATATTAGAACATATTGGTCGTACATCAACACCTAAGCTAAATCAAACGATGGGATTACCTAATACTGATAAAGAACATGAATTGTAACACGATGATTGTTATTAAATCAATTTAACTGGATATCTTTTTAAACTTACTCAACTTAACTAAGCCTTTTATCCCAACTACTTGGTGTCGGCTTCCGGCAACTCGCATCTCTGCCACACTCACTTCATCATGTGTGATGTGGTTTGTAGACTTTTGACAATCCTAGGTTTACTTGCACTTTCATATTTTCTTTCCCTTTTTTTTCTCTTTTTAACTCCTGACCTTGTCTTTTCAGCTCGAAATCCATATAGTAACCAGGTTAAATCCGTATTATATTTATTGCTCATTATTGAATGGAATTGAGACAAGCAATTTCACATTACTTGTGTGGCATAGACAACTGCTATTGTATTCAGATGCCTTCAATGCAAATCAGAAAGCTTTTCAACAGATTATTATGGTTTTCTGATATTTGTCATCTAAATATGTGTTTAAGGACATTTGATAGCTAAATGAAGATTCTACTTCAGAATATGTTATTTTATTATCATTGTTTCTGTATGAATACGCCATTGATTTCTTTCTGACCTCTAAGGTTGTACTGTCAGATGTACGGGTATTAGTTGGCTTATCTAGTAGAAGTTGATGTGAATTGCTCATAGATCGTGAGGCCACTGTTGTTACTCCTGTGATATTTGCTCAGGTTGGTGTAAATTGCTTCTTTATGTTCTCTTTCTTCTGAAAGTTAGACCATCTCTTTCTCCTGACCGCGAATTATTGTTGGGCTTAAAATATTGTCAAATAAATGGACTACTAAGTTCCTTTTTTAGGTTGTGTTGTCAAATAAGCAAAAATTCTATAAAAGTAATTATTTTGGAGTTTCAAAAGGTTGCTAATCAAGAAAGTGAATGAGCCAGATGTTTGCTGCAACAAAAGCCAATGGACGGTTCTTGCAGTTAACAAATGTATTGCAGTCATCTATTGGCTTGGAATATGCACGAAAGAGTTGATTCTTTGCATTTTCTAGCCACCACAGCGAGGTTGATGCTTCAAGAAGGATTCCTTATTGAAATGCAATTGCACAAAAGTACTCAAACAACTTGCTCGAGGAAGTGGACCTTTTGTGCTAGAACTATAATTCAAGTGTTGAAAGTATAGTGGCAAGACATTTTCTAACTTGCTGGATGAATCTTGTGGGTTCCTGACGAGGACAATATCATCCCGTTAGTTCATTGACTTGTCTACAGTTTTTCTATTGAAGCAAACAAGCTGTGCCCAAGGTATCTTTTTCCATGGTATAGTTTGTTGCAATTCAAAAATTGAACAAATTAGGTAGTTTATTAATTTCAAATTGATCATGGCATTAAATTTTGTTTATCTAAATATATTAAGTTCTATGCTTTGGATACCGAAAAAAGTTGTAAGTTGGGCTAGTTTAAGAAGTTTTGCTTGTATCATACACGGTGAACCTAAAGACAACTTTTTCCAAAATTCAAATGTATTTGGTAGATCTTGGGATGCATTGGTTTTGAATTTGGTATCAAGATAGTCAATCTTAACATTGTATGATGGCAGGTCGTTCCCTTTTGTACTAGCTGCTGGAAGCAATCATAGGTCACCGTCCAATGCTGTGATGTACTCAAAATTTCTTGCCCGCATTCTGGAATGACCCCTTTTGCACTCTTCCCAGATACTGTATTTTTCATTTGCACACTAAGGTGCAATGTGCTCATAATTATGAAATTATCTGAAAAAGGTCCGGTTACAGTCACGCTGGTTGCAGGCAAGTGCAGGGTGATAGACTTTTTCACTGGCTAAGAACCATGGCGCCTTAATGGAGTGTTGGAGTTGTTAAATGTTAGTTGTGGCAACTGATTTGCTCTCGTGCTGCTTGGAAATCTCTTAGACGCTGTTGGATGATGATAAAAGGCTTTAGAAACTTGTCTTAGCTTCTTAATTTTTGCTGTCAAGTATGGAATGAAAACTACGCTCGACTTTGGGTGTACTTTCTAAAACTTTTTTCATTGGACCCTCGAATATGTAAGCATGTAGTTCTTATGGTTGTCTGGCGATCTAGTTAAGTGCAAATATAGCAATGACTGATTTTATATGATGGAATGTGTCGCTTGCAGAAATTCAATTCAACATGAGTTTGAAGCATATACAAATAATTTCGGAATCCCTCGAATTTATATATTTTTTCATTTTTGTGTGTATGAGAGGGGTTTGGGGATTGTTAGGTATTAATTCTAAAGTGTCAATGGATGGGATCCCTCAATACATTAATTGTTTAGAATAATCCTCTCCAAAATAGTGGATCATCCTACAACAATAAAATTTTTCTATCTGTACATTATCCAATGGCTTAATTGTGGTAGAGTCTAGCTTTCGGTGAGCTGCACCTGTGTTCAAGTCCCCTCTTCTTAATTTGCCTGGATGAAAAAAAAAAAAACCATTATGGATGTGATATTTTTTTTTTTATATAAAAGGAAGAATTTACAAAAAAAATGACTTGAGAAATTTATCAACAGAACATGCCCCTAAGCAAACAAGAAACCTCAAGGATTAGACTAGTTCACCAAGGATCAAGATTAGCAAGGTGAAGATTCTGGATGTAATTTTTTCTTTGGATGTTAATGTTGGAGAGGTTGACTTTAGATGAAATGGTATTAGAGTCGCTTTCTTCACCTCTAGTTATTTGGGGAGGGGGTAATACCACATGGGCCAATCTTTTTGATAATGTTTAAACATATTCAAATTGTTCTTTTAGCAATTGTTTATTTATTTTTTAAATATACATATTTTATTATTTTAAGTTTTAGTCAATTTATGAATATTATAATATGTATTAAATTATAATTTAGTTCATTTAATTTAAATAAAAAAAATATTTTGTAGAATTCATAAATTGGTAAACAAGAAAACTAATTAAGTCATTAAAATATCATTATTTATTTTATATTTTTAAAAAATTGAATCATTTTCATACTTCAAAAAATTGACTAATTACTGCACAATTTAAATATAAAAATTGACAACAATTAGGATAGCTAATAATTTTAAAAAAATATGTTTAAAAGAAAAAGAAATAAATTTTGGATAACCACTAAATTTTGAATAAAATTCTAATTACAAAATTTTACTTCTTGTTTTGAAAGTTAGATTTATTGTATTTTTTAAAAATAAATAAAATGAAAGGCCACATATGCGTTTAAAAAAGAAATGTATAATTTGATGGTAATTTTTTTAAATAAAATTTATAAAAATTCTCTTAATGTCTTCAATCATAAATTATATTAAAATTTAATCTAAATATTAAAATTTTAATTTAAATATTAAAATTTAATCATTTCCAGTGAAAATTTACTACAACAATATATATATATATATATTTTTCATCCAAAATACTTAATTTATTATTCTTTTGGGAAAAAACATAATTGCAATTAAACAGAGGGATGGGATGGATGACTACATTTAGAAGCCAAATAATCGGACAGAGAAACCCTTGTCTAAACCCTACTCTCTCTCTCTCTCTCTCTTAAATTCTCTCTCCAAAACTCGCATTGTGCAATCAGAAAATGCCGTCGTTTACCCATCCAGGCTCAGTCACCGTATGTGAAATCAATAGAGAATTGAGTACGATTCTCTTTCTCCTCTAAAAATTCAGTTTTGTAAGTTGCGAACATTCAAGGTTACTAACTCAGAACACACTGTTCATAATACTTCTCTTCGTGTTTGCAGTCACCGCTGAGAACCTCTCAGACGATCGAGCCAAGGACACTTATGGCAAAATTCTCGTAATCTTCTCCTTAAATATATTGATATATTTATGTGTGTGTGTGTGTGTGTTTGTGTTTAAATTCATTTATGTATGAATATATTTATATGAAAAACTACCGTTCGAAATTTAATCTCATGGGTCATTGCAGGGAATTGTATTTAGTCCAGTTCCTTTTCAATCTGATGATCTATTGCCCCCAAGTACCGAGCAAGGCTTCGAACAACACGAAAGAACTGTAGAGTCTGTTCAAAGGAAAGGTTTATCGGAAGCTCTGCAGGCAGTCTGTAGGGATACTTTCAAACGCCTTTTCCATCCCAATTATGTAAGTACAATTTTTTTTTTTTGGTTATAGTCACTTTCAATTATATTGCTTAGGTGTGTAATAAGGAATTAAAAATCATATAACTGACTTTTCCGTTCTCTTTAAGCACGTATATACATTGCTGCATTTGTGATTTTGTAGCGTAGTATTGATGTCCAACTAGCCTTGTATGAACGGGAAATGTTAGATTCTCGGACGAGTTTAAACTTTCTCACTTGTATAGTTTAATATAGGACTATATATAAATTTATGAAAAAAAAAATAGGACTATATATAAGTGTATTTGTTGGAAATGATGATTATTCTGGTGTATAATTAGAGACCAATGTATTCTAGATGGTAACGTCATATTCTGAATTATTTACTCTTGTTATGTAAACAAAATGAGATGGCAGTAGTCATTTGTAGTACATTATGGAGGTCATTTCCGTAATAAGACAACAGTATCCCATAATCAGTTTGGATCATTGCCTAGAAGATACATTATAGAGGCCATGTACGCAATGAGACATTTCATTGGAAGATCATACATGCAAAATGAAATATATACTCATGATTTTCATTGATTTACAGAAGGCATGTGATATGTTACAGAGTGACCTGATTTGGTGCGCCCTACAGAAAAGGATTTATCGTCAATTTTAATAAATCATCTAAAATATGTATAGAGACACAGGGACTAGAGTTTGAATCATATACGAGAAACTAACGATTTTCCATTAAATTAGGTTTGCATCAAGGCTTACCACTGAGTGTAATATTTTATATGGAGCAGAATGGGCACTAAAAAAGAAATATGAACTGCTCATTCATTTTATGTAAATAGGAATGTTTAGATAGATGATGTGAGTAACTAGAAGAGGCATGAAAAGCAATCAACTTGTTGGATAGAGATTACGAATGACATAGATTAGTGACAGAATCAGGGAAAAGGGGTTAGGTGGTATGGGCATATACAGGTAGACTTGAAAATTCCCCAAGAAATATTAGTTATAATAGAAGGTAAGAAGCAAAGAGAATTCAATGGATGTTAGGAAATTAGATATAATAGGATACTGATCTATTAAAAAAGAATGAAAATAAAATAACATGGTTGACGCCATTTGAATAGGTACAAGGCAAGGACGTTAATGGTGATTCATTTATAGTAGATTGATGCCCAGGGCTTGCTAAATTTTGGTGAAGGCAGATTGAATTTGTTGTGTTTGTTGAGGTCTAAGCTTTATTTATGCAAATTTTTGCTAGTTAAAAATCCAATTCATTTGTTACATGAGCATTTTATGGTCACCTTATTTTATTTTACCTAATGCATTTTCTAAACTTTATGATATGTCATATCTGTTCATGAAAACTTCATTTTTTTTCCTAAGTGAAGGAAAGTATTATAGATACAATCAATATAGAACAAGAGAGAAAAGAGGGTATACCCTCAAACCACCACAAAAGCCCTATAAAAAGGGGCAAGGAAAAACCAAGGACATACCCTTGGAAAACCCAAAGCTAAAATTAGAAAATTAAAATGATATCTTGAAGGCATACCCCCAAGATATCCATTACTTCCTACATAATACATTTCACCAAATCCTTTGGTTCTCTGTGTTTCTCATTATGGACTCTATCAATTCTCTCCATCCGTATGAAATATAAGATAGCAATGAAACACATTCGAAACGTTTTGTGCTTGAAAGTCCTTGCCGCATACTGCTGAGAAAAAACCTGGGCAAAGTCCAGAATTGAACCACACTTATGAATGTCCCAATGACAAATATCCGAGATACCATACCATACCTGCCATGTGTAATCACAGCTGCAAAAAAGATGATCACCATTCTCTACACTCTGCCGACACAGAAAACAAATTGAAGCTAGAGAGATTACTCTTCTTTGTAAATAAGAGCTGGTTAGGATAGCATTCTGTAGGACCAGAACAACATGTATAGACCATCTAGGCCTTCCACCACTCCAACAGAGCTCAGTCCAGAACATGTCTGGTTTCTTAACTCTGGGAGCCTCTCAAATGGTTTTGAAAGAAGCCTGTGAAGACTGCCACAATATCTGATCAGAACCCCCATGAATACTGTACGCCCGAAGGTAATTAAATACATCTTGAGTAATATCTTCAAACTTGGAAACATCCCAATGCTGCTCCACAATAAAATCACTCAAAGATTCCACTTTACTTCTATGTATACATCTCAGCCTTCTGTGAGAAAATAACTCTGTAAGAAATTTGCCCTTACACCATGGATCCAAAAACAGATGCACATTCTCACCATTTCCAATTCTACATATATAATTCAGCTTCACAATATCTCTGACAGAGACAATGCTCTTCCAAATTGAAGAGTATGAATCCCTAGGTACCACATGCCTGTAAGATGCCTTCTTTAGATAACATTTCTTAAACCAAGCAACCCATAGTCTGTCTTTGGACATAATAAAGTCCCAAGCTAGACTGCACTTTGAAGCTGTATCCACGTCAGCAATTCTCCTCAAACCAAAACCACCTTCAGCTTTAGGAGCAGCCAACTACTTCCAGTTCAAACCATGAAGTTTATAATTATTTTCATTCTCCTCTCAATGATGTTAATCACAGAGGCAGGAATGGTATAAACAGAAGTCTCATTCTCCTCTCAATGATATTAATCACAGAGGCAGGAATAGTATAAACAGAAGTCCAATAATGTACCAAAGGAATGACCACAGCCCTCACTAACTCCACCCTCCGAGCCATTGAAATATGAATACCACTCCACCTGGAAGTCGTAGCCACAACTTTGTCTATAGGGCTCAAACAATCAGTAAATGGAAGTTTCCCCAATTTACAGCCCAAAATTCTCAAAATATAAGATTTCCTCTTCACAGACCTGGTCAAGAAATTTTTTGACTTCTCCTTGCTTACAGAGAGACCAGAAACTGCCTCAAAATGGTTCGTAATCTTCTTGAGAGTGAAAACAGTTGCCAAGTTAGCCCTCACCACGACTAATAAATCATCAGCAAAAAACTGATGAGACAAAGGAATTCCAGCTCTTGTAGCAGCTTTAGAGATTACCACATTACCTTTCTTCACCTCAGCTTCAAAAACCCCTGATAGATATTCAGGGACAAGAGTGAAAAGGAGGGGAGACAGAGGACAACCCTGCCTAATCCCTTTCTCAGGTTGGAAGAAACCATTGGGACTACCATTAATCAGAATAGAGAACCAAACTGTTGAAATACATTCTGTCACCCATTTGATGTTGAATAGTTGTAGTTGATGAAACTATAATAGGAGTAAGTATTAAGTTTGGCATCTAGAGAGAAGTTCTAAAAGCAACTTGGTTTATAAGCAGTAGGACGAAACTATGTAATATGCATCGACACATAAAATTACAAGAGAGAATATAGTAAAGATCAAGTGATATAAGCACTTATGACATCTACTTGAAACTTTTTAGTCTTTAAATAACATGGTAAAATTACCAATAGGCCAGTGGCCTAGCGGTATTAGGCCCTTACTTCCCAAAGCAAGGTCAAGGGTTCAAGCTTCAGTGGAGGCATGTGTGTGTGAGTACCAACTAAGACAAAAAAAAAAAAATATTAACATGGTCAAATTGTTTAGTTAATCTATGGTGTGACTGTTATATTTTATATTTGTTTAGTCCCAATCTTTTAGTTTCATGGCCATGCATAATTGGGAGTGTGCTCACAAAGGTCCAGTTTAATTCCTTGTATATTTTTCCTTTGAAACCCACCACCACTTACCATAAAAAAAGAAAAAAAGAAGAAGCCTACCATCTACAAGTATTTGGCATCCCCTTGTTTGTCTCATTACCACAAGTGTTATGCTTTGCTGCAATTCTTTCAGAGGTTTTATTCAAATATTCTGTGTTTTTGTCACATTTTATGTGGAACTCTTCTCATTTCATACCAGAGGAGCTATGATATAGGCCCCTTAACACACTGACTCAAATTGTTTGATTATGGGTTGTTGAGGCGAAACTTCACCTTTTCCTGTGGGTACATTCGTCAGTGTGTCTAAATTTCTTGATGCATGGACCATCTCAGAGTTATAACATACTTTTAATAAAGTAAAATAAACACCAGTAGTAATTTGAAGTGGTAAAAGCATTAAAAGAAAATTCTGAACTGACGTGTGTATCCTTTATTTAATCAAGTTGGTTGAGGTGTCACAGGTTGCATATATGCTTAATTTAGGTAAGGCAATAGGTATGGCATGTGATCAGTGCATCACAGGGAGTCTTGCCAAGTGCACAACTTTATGTTTGTAAGTTAGGCAGAACTACTATTTTTTTTTTTTTTTAAGGATAAGTAGAACTACTATCTTTAATATGGAATGTGTTGATAACATAACTTAAAGTTAAAGGCATGTAATAATGTCGTTGGAGCTTGTGCATTTGAGTTATTAAAGAAAGTTGCCATAAAATTTTCAGGTAAAATTTGTATCAGATATTGACCTTGATGGCATAAGTTGGCACCAACATAAGCATATTTTAGCATTTATCTCTGGGCCAAACCATGTTACAGTTCGTGATTATGAGGATTCAGGTCAGTAACTGGCTATTCACCCGTACTTGAGCTGTGGATTTGCTTCTCTCTTTAGAACTTGCATTGTCAAGAGCTATACATCTACGTCTCTTGAATATCTATCAAATGCCATACTCTGTTCTAAGTAACTCAAATTTATTTATTTATTTTTTATTAGAGGGGAAGGACCCATGCATTTTGATCAATGAATCCCAGAGAGATGTTAAGCTGGTTGCATGGCGGCCGAATGGTGGGAGGACACTTTCTGTAGCTTGCAAGCAAGTATCATAGTATTGCCACATTCTCATTTTTAGATTGGTATTTTTATTGGTAAAGTTTGTACTGAGAGTTGCCAACAATTTTTGTTGATTCTTATTGGATATTTTCATTAATTGGATTGCGAAGGGGTGGAATTTGCATTTGGACTGCTTCTTACCCTGGGAATGCAGCATCTGTGAGATCGGGAGTTTCCTCAGGCACCCTCTCTAAAGGTTCTGGAAGTCGATGGACTCTAGTGGATTTTCTGCGGAGTCATGATGATGAACAGATTAGTGCACTCTCATGGAGTCCTGATGGAAGATATCCAACAATTTTTGCGTATAGATCTATTATATGAATGAACTTCTATGCAATAGGATTATGAATGATTAAATCTGATATATTGTCATCGTAATCACTTTTATTATATCTGCCATTGGGCCTCATTTTAGTCACTTTACCTTTTCCTCGTATTAATTAATTAACTTTTTCTATATGCATGTGGCGGCCTTTTAGAAAATTTTGATTTCTTTTCCAGTGCTTTTGTTATCACCTCTTGCATTTGGAAATTTTTTTGATTGTTCCACAATACAGAGTATTGAGGATTTGTGATGTGACATGCTATCCATTTGAATTTTAATCTGTGTAGATGAACCTTTGTTTGGTAGGAGGGAAGGAAGAAAAGGGGGGTGGGGGGGGGAGGGGGGGTTGGGTGGGTGGGTGGGAGGAAGAGAGGAAGGATGGAGCAGGTCTCCGTTGTTTTGTATGAGGGAGAGGGAGAACGAAGGGAATGCAAGATGGATGAGGCATCCTGCCAGAGTCCGGATCCTCCATTTTTCATCCATCCAAAGGTGGACAGAGAGGAGGAAGGATAACTATTGCATAAAATGTGAAGTGACATTGTTACCTTTAATAAAAAATCATGTTGATTGTTATTAATGTAAAGAGTACAGGTTATAAATCTAGTACATCCTTCCCTTCCCTCTTACAAAGCAATGGAAGGTGTCACCTCCTACCTTTTCCTTCCACTCAACCAAAACACCTTCACTTTGTATGACACCTCTTTTAACCACCCTTCCTTCCATTTTTTCATTATTCACACCAAATGAAGCATAAATTAAATTTAGAAGCACTTTATATTCTTCCATATTCTGATGTTGTCGAGACTTATTTTTATTATCTAATGTCTCTGTGTTGTTGACTACTTTGATTTCTTTCTTCGTTTAATATTGGAGGTTTTATTTAATGTTTGGTTCTGAAATTTTCTTGACCTATCTTCACATATTTGGCATCTGGCTCATATGAGGGCCCATCATTTACCATTTGGGATGTTGCTCAAGGTACATGAAATATTTTCCTTTGCCATTCTAAAAGCTCACAGATTCTACTGTGTAGCTTGTTGGATGCTTTTATAAGTAACTAGATAATATATTCTCACTGTTTGTGTCTTTTCTCTACATTTCTGCTTTAATACTTTTTTCTATTTTTTGATGAAAATTTATTATAAGTATTTAATATGGACATTATGAGTTCACACTAAATCGTAATTCTTTGGGCTTTTTCTTTTTTAAATCATTTAACTATCTCCTCTCTTGATTGTGATTTGATTGTGATTTATATGTATTAACCCATTGAGAACCTGAATGATGTGCACCTTATCATATGATTCATATTGGTGGTTATTATGCATACATATGTTAAATTCTATAGAATCAATGCTGCAAATTCTGTAAACACATCTTTATAGATTTTCATTTTCTTGAATATGTATGAGTTTTGATTTAGTAACCGTATGTACAATAATTAGATGACAATATCATAGACATGGAAAAAGAAGATTTTTTAGGGGCAAAATATTGAGATTATTTTACTTAATAAGAAATTAGTTGAAGATTTTTGGAGTAAACAAAAAGATTTAGGTATGGTTTTCAGACTTAGAGAAAGATAGGGTATACAATAGTTTTAGATCAAATAACAAAAGACATAAAAGGAGACATTACCATGGTGCATATTGTTTGCTGATGACATAGTGTTATTAGATACTTCTAAGGAAAACTTAGAAACTAAAATTAGAAACGTGGAGAATTGCTTTGGAGTCAAAAGGCTTAAAAATTAGTAGGACTAAAACAAAATATGTGGAATGAAAAATTAATGGTGTTCATTAAAAAGTTTGATAGTGTTTATTAAAAAGTTGCAATATAATGATAATGCTTCAAAACTGTGGAGAATTGTTAAAAGGAAAGTTCTATAGGACAGTTTTTAAGACAACTATTAAAGTAGAGTGTTGGGCGTTAAAAAAGAAACTAGAATAACACATTCATGTGGATAAATGAGAATGCTAAGATGGATAGTAGAAGTGGCTAGAAAAGATAGGAGTACTATTGTGAGGGAGAACTTAGGAGTGGCTCCTATTAGCAATAAAAGAAGATAAAGTAGGCTTTGGTGGTATGGACATATGCAACTGAAAAATGTACTAGTAAGAAGAGGAAGACTAGTTTTCATAGTAGTAAGAGACAAGGAGGTCGACTAAAACTTACATGGGATGACGTTATTAGCAATGATTTTAAAAAGTTAAATATAATAGGACAAATGACTTGTAATAGAAAAGAATTGAACAAGAGATTTCATGTGGCTGACTCCATTAACAGGAGATTAAGTGAGGATGATGATGTGAAATTAGATAATAATATCATGTGCATGAAAAAACCATCCCGCCTAAAATCGAACAATTCTTGAAAGCAAAGAAAAGGCAAGACAAGAAAAGAAAATTAAATAAATAATTGAAGAGAGAAATCAGCTACAGTAATCTATACCATCATGCATTTGGGGATGACTCAAACCCCCTCACGCAGGGTAGAAACGTGTCTCCATAGTAAAAGACCTGTGGATTGCTGGTGAGTTGGCCTTCTTAACCCTGATCCAGCAGTCCAATTATCTGGGACTTTATGAAAATCGGTCTCAATACTATTATGCATTTGAGAGGTGTAATGCCAAGAACCAGTAGACCCACCTTTATCCAACTAATTTCCATCTTAGAATGACATTCAATCGAGCGCTTCTAAAGTCCCAAAGAGAAGTCTTCTTGGAGCCCTTCTAAAGGAGCAAGCACCTCAGCTATGACGGCGAACCTCATTGCCACTGGCTTGGAGAAAGAGAACACAGCATTACTCAAATGATTTTCTGGAAACACTTGAAAACACTACCATCACAATTAATGTTTCGTTCGGTGGGAAGGAAGGAAGAGGGGTGGAAAGAAGATAGGAAGGAAGGAAGAAAAATCCTTCGCTCAATAGAGAGGAGACAAGAAGGGAAAGGATAATAGGATGGATGAGTCATCCTTCCTCCTCCACAAATTTGCATCCCTCCAAATAAAAGTGGTAGTAAAATAAAAGTTTTAAATTGCAATACTATCATTCATAAATATTAGATAAACTCCAAATAAGGATATAATGCTAAAAAATATTTAAAACTCTCTCTTCCTTTCTCTCTTAACGAACAAAGTAAGTCGTTAGATTCTTCTCTTCCCTTCCATCCAACCGAACAAAAAGAGGGAAGGATGCAATCTCTTCCCTAGGGATGTCTCATCCATCCCTCCTTCTCTCCCTTCCATCCAATTTTCTCCCTTCCTACCGAATGAAGCATAAGTTTGATTCTCCTTCAGGAGGTCGCTTCCACTCATACCAGATTGATTTAGTGGGCAGCCGGATGAAGAAATGGCATTTTAGTCATAGAAAATAAGATTTAAGGAACTCCTCTAAATCCATAGCTTCATTGATCCTCTTTAGTACCTTCTTGTATTCCGAGATCCTTGATGTCCTTTATTTTTCCAAATAATTCAATCAAAATCCACAACCCCTCTTCCCCTCCCACTGCCCCTCCCCAACAAAAAAAAAAAGAAAAAAAAAAAAAGAAAAAAAAAAAAGAAAGCACATTGAAGGACTTTAGCTGTCTATCCTCTCTTTGCCAGAGCTCATTGAAGAATGCACAAGCTAGGCCATAAAATTCCGGGGGCAACCCAACTTAAACCTGTTGGGGCAAAAGACCTTTGCCTATTTTCAGTCCCTTTTGGTCCAGAATCCTAATACTAACGCATGTCTATATTTGGAATCATTATGTTCACTCTTTTTCCCCACGTGTTAAATTTAATTGCAGATAAGAGTGGTTTGATTTCTTCACCTGCTATCTTATTTTTGTATTCCTAATTGGTATTTATATACATACTCTACCTTAACATGATTAATCCGCATGTTAAATTTTAATTTTCAATAGGGTGGCCTGATTTATTTATTTGCATATAATATTTTTCTTATTTCTAATTGGTAGTTCTATATCCTTATATGATTTACAGGGCGGGGAACACCCATTCGACGGGGCTTGGGGGGCATATCAATTCTGAAATGGTCTCCCACTGGAGATTATTTCTTTGCTGCAAAATTGTAACTGTCATTTAATAGCATGGCTTACTTCTGTATGCATTATATTTATTCCGCATTGATCATATCTCTATTTAAGATATAAAGCAATTATCATGTTCTTTTACAGTGACGGGACATTTTATCTTTGGGAGACAAATACATGGACATCGGAGCCATGGTCCTCAACAAGTGGATTTGTTACGGTAAGTAAAAATAATGATCATCCCATACTTCATTCCTAAATTTTGAAGTCAAAAGGATTTTAGAATTATCTGAGTTGTTGGTTGTCTGAGAAACCATAATATTTAATTTATGGTTTCTTGAATTTTTATTTACTTCATTTTACGTCTTATATATGGAAGAATTAAGGTGGTGTTGGTGATGAATGAATCTGTGATTATTTTGTGGGTTTGGAGGTTTTTGCTAGAGAAATAGGGACTGTGGACGGAAATTTTTTATTGTATTCGGCGTTTTTTGAAGCCTTGACTTGTGCTCCCAAATATGTTAGGGGAAGTGATGAAGTGGGTCTAAGGAATGTATTATGGTTTATGGTGGATATATGGATGGGGTAGGCTTTGCAGTGGGTCCCTTTTGGCAAGATAATGTCTGTAAAGATTCATTACCCGAGGAAAATATTGCAGGATAGATGCTCTTGTTGTGAATTTTAGGTAGGGTTGATTAGATGCATTTCAAGTGAAGTTGAGAGAATGTTTCATGATTGAGAATTGTAGTTGACTTTTGAATTTTTTAAATTCAATTTTCATGAAATTTTGGAAAATTTAGTGGAGGAGAGAGCACGGAAATGAAACCACAATGGTAACTTATGGGTGGAATTTGCTTTGACTATTTATGAAGGCATTGCTTGGTTTATTTGTTCCTTTTACTTTTTTATCAGGTCAAGAATTTGATGAGTCACTAAGGCGGATTCAGTCTATTCTTTGTTGGTTTAGCTTAGACAAATTGAGATTGAGTTGTAACCCTAATTTAAGTTTTAAAATTACCTGATAATTGCTTATGCTCAGAAAAAAAAGAAAACATGCGAAAGTTGTTCGCATGCCTTCTATTTGACGGATGGAGATTGAAATCTCCTGCATTCTTCTACATTGCATGAAGAATAACATTTACATCTGTTTATATGGTTTTGAACATCTGATTCAACTATTGTAATGAAATAAAGTTCTATTTGTCAAGCTTGATCAAGTTGATGACAAGCTAGATAAAGTTCTGTTAGTGAATCTTAACCCACTTCCAATTTTTGTTAGGATTTCCCTGCTTAAGAATTGATGCATATATTATAATAGCAAGATGACATTCGCTCTAGGATGGAAAGAATCCTTTCAGAGATGTTGTCTCACCTGCGTAGAGCATGTATTGTTGTCTGCTTAAATTTAGTGTGATTATAATTTATATCATCCTGGCATCATTTACGAATTTCATATGCTTTATATGTTCAACAAATTTCTCTAGTGCACTCGCTGTTCTTTAACTAGAGCTGCATAATAAACTGGTCTAAGTTTCCAGGTTTATTTATTTATTTATAATAAGCACGAACCTAGCCTCTTTTTCAGTTTAGTGAACAAACTTTTCTTTTACTAGAACTGGGTGTTGCAACTTGTAAGCACTACTATATCTTTTATTTCATCAATTAGTCTGAGGGCTTTGTTTGTGGGCATGTGATGGTTTCTTATAGTTCTTTTCGTTAAGTTCGCTCTCTTATAGTTGTCACTACTACCTTTTTTTTTTCTTTTTTCTTTTTTTTCCAAATATTTAATCTTGGTTATATGAGTTTTGGATTTATGTTTCTGCTGTTATAAGATGATTTTTTTATGGTCTCAACTGTCTTTTTTCCTTTTAAAACATTTTTATCTTCTTTATCCTTTTGGTGAGATGAAATGATTTTCATTCTTTGCTGCATGTTATATTATGGATGAAATCTCTGCTCAGTTTACCATGTTTTTTATCTCACCAGGGAGCAACATGGGATCCTGACGGTCGAATGATACTGATTGTTTTCTCTGAATCTTCAACTTTAGGTTCTATTCACTTTGCATCAAAGCCTCCATCATTAGGTATCCGCGTTCCTCCTTCTCTTTTTTTCTCTCAAGTTCTTACTACTAGTTACTTTCTCAACATCATGCTTGTCTTTTATGATGAGGCAATCAGACCTCATGCATGAATTCCAAACCTTGTGATCCCTTGTTTTTAATTAATAAATTTGTTGGAATAATGTAATTTGTAGTTTGTGGGTACTTTTTATTTTGTAATTTGTTTTTATACTATTTTGTTATTGGTGGTGGTGGGGGTGGATTCTCAGCCAATCTCATGTGCACATACCCATGAGGTTGTGATGAACTAGTAAGACCTAATATATCAACCTTAAGATCTGGAATCTTTTTTTCTTTCTTAATTAGTTAATTTAGATAATGGAATAATACTAGTATTGTATTGCTGTATGAGGTTTAAAGGGAAACTCTGAAGACACTAGTTTTAGAACTCCAAATATTCGTAGTTGTACATATTTGAGTTTGGTTATGGTGATGAATGCATTGCACATAGGATAAGGGAGGTCCTATGGGTTGGATGGGGGAAAAGCTAAGGTCCTTAAGAGAGAGCTATGCTACATGGACTCCTAAAGAATACATGAAGTACTTGTATCCAATTCATATGGTTGGACATGCATCTAACAAGCATATCCATTAATTCAATTCTATTACATAATTATACATAAAACTCTTTTATATGATCCATTTTGCTTTAAAATGAGTAAAAACATTATGTTACTCTTAAAGTAAGAGAGAAATATACAATAGTATGAGTAATTAGTTGTGTCTATGTATCCTTAGGTTTGAAGAGTTGATAAATTTGATGCTTATGCTCCGTTTGGAAGGAGGGAAGGAATAGAGGGAGGGAGAGGGAGAGGAAGAGGATGCAGTAGGTCTTAATTGTTTGGTACAAAGGAGAGTTGGAGAGAAGGGGAGGATAGATGGATGAGACTCCCACCTGCTGTTGGGAGGAGGGAATACCATCCTCCATGTGTAATACGTCATCCTCAAATGACATACACCACGGAATCTCATATTGGATGTGTCTTGTCAGCTCATTCATAACCAAGGCAAAAATGTATGGACTTAATGCCCCTTGGTGTAAGGCTACAGTAATTGAGAATTCACTTCTTTCACCTACAGGTTCCTATAGTCACACAACCATCATACATGTCCCTTTGTGACTCATTTCTTTTCTAAAACCTCCGTATTAGGTCTCTATATACTCTATCATAGGCCTTCTCCAAATCAATAAAAACCATATGGAGATCTCTGTTCTATACTTAAAAGATAAGGAAAATAAATTTGAAATTACTAATTAGCACAGTTGGACTGCATGGTGCTTCGTTGGTTTTCTGTTCTTGCCGCGTCATAATTTTATGGACTCACTATCTAATGTTTATGTTTTCCTGTTCTGATTTTTCCCAGATGCACACTTATTGCCAGTTGATTTGCCAGATATAATATCCTTGACTGACAGGTATGGGTAGTAATCACTTTGCCATGCTTTAAAATTTCTTTGACAAAACTCTTAAAATAACTCGTGAGAAATGAGTGCGTAAGAAAGTTTGTTCAGATGTCTGTTTGAGCATACCAAACTGCTTATCTACGGTGGTTTCTTGGGTTGGTTTGAGAAATGATAGTGTGTAACAAGGCATTGGATGCCAAAATTTTTTCTTTTTTTTTCCTCCCTGTAGACATGTCAATCTAAGAGCTTTTATCATTACAATTTCTTGTTAAATTGTATATCCCACCTATGCGAGGTATTGGGAGAGCCAAGAAGAAGCACGAAGGCCAACTTTACTTTTGACATTATATTGAACAAAGCAGCTGCTCTTAGACTTGAATCCGTAAACTCCGCTTTCCAGTCTGAGATATCCATTGCACCAAGCGGTGACACCTGTTAAAATTTCTTGTTATTTTGAGATTATATTTGGCAAGGTTATTGTTGTTTATGCAGTCCGATCATAGAGAAAATAGCATGGGATGCTTCGGGAGAGCGATTGGCTTTGTCGTACAAAGGTGGGAATGAGTTGTACAAGGGTCTCATTGCGATATATGATGTGAGGAGGACTCCCTTGATTTCTGCATCATTGATGTGAGTGTATATATATGTGTATATTTAGTTGCTAAAACTTATTTAATAACCAGTTGTATTGTGCTGTCGCTTATTGTTATAAAAACTTAATTTGTTACATTTTGTCTCTCAAATGGTGAGAATAGGACATTTTGTATTTATAGATATGTTCCTCGATTTGTTGACAGTGCCTGAACGGCATCTTTATCTGATTCTGATCTGTAGTTTGCTATCATTCTTTTATCCAGTGGGTTCATTAGAGGGCCAGGAGTCGATCCAAAGCCACTTGCGTTTTCATTTCATAACAAGTTCAAACAGGGACCACTGCTTTCCGTGGTAAGTCCTTGTAGATCCCCCAGCATTCTTCACTTGCGATTGAACAGTGTCTGTGGTCAGATGTGGTGGTATTTCAAGGTGTAGGCACCAAAATGACATCATCTGAGATTGAAACATGTTCAAAAGGAGTTAAGGTTTTGATATTTGTGCATACACACATCATTGAATAGAAAATTGATGTTTGGCTATCTTAAATTATATATGTTTTGAATGTACAACACATCCACTTTGTTTTTCTGATTAATATTTGTCAATTTTGTATATTCATTAACCTAAGTCAGTTTTACTTGTTATGCAGATTTGGAGCACTGGATTTTGCTGCACCTATCCTCTTATATTTCGTTCGCATGTTGTTCCATAGTTATGGAATTTGTGTTCCTTTCAAAAGTTGTATTATTCTTTTCACAGAATCCAGATGTTTAAGCACAAAACAAATGTAGTCTCAAGGTATTTTTATACCAAGAAAGATGTTAGGTCCTGTTTATTTTAACATTTTGATGGTATTTTTCTTGCTTCCTTGAGCAAAAATTTGCAGCCCAGTGATGTATGAGGAAAAACATTTTCATTTTCATTTTCATTTATGTCTAATTTCCAATGAATATCCCCCTTTGATTTAAGATCCAAAACCGTCAGGGTGTGTGGTATAAGAGGTACATCATGATGAAATCTCTCTACCCCTCTCAATCAAACATGTATGTTAATTGATCTGCTTTGCATGGGAGAAAACATGTGGGTGGACTGTTTTTTCCTCAGTAAGAAAAGTATAATAGATGTACAATAATAGTTATTCTGCTTTATATTTTAGTATTATCCAATGTTTTCCGTGATTGATAGAACTTGTGAGGATCATTCTGTTTTGTTTTTTGTTTCAGTTTAGCTTTAAAGACGCACTTGTTCAAGTAGTTCAAAGTAGTTAGGTAGTGTTGCATACCCATCCATTTATACATACTTCAATTCCTATTCAAATCCTGATACAAGTTTTACTTATAATATGCTTCCCACCCGAACTCATGCAACACTTTTGTTGCGGTCGGGCCACCCTGCCTATCCGAGGTAGATCTGGACGCCTTTCAAGTAGGGCATTTGACATGACACCGGATTAAAAACGGGTGTGACTTTGATACCTACTTGTAACACAAAGGCTGAAAAAGCGCAAAGTGAATGCTAAGTAATTTGCTATTTTCCATGACTACTGAGTACTTAGCTATCATTATATGGCTTGAACATGATAATTTTTATTTATATTATTATTTTATTTTATTTTTTGTTTTCCACTCACTTGACATTCAACAAGCAAAGAGAAAATTACATACTTGGACTTTTGTTTAAAACAATTTGTCATGGATTGAAACTAACTTTTTACTAATGATTTACAAGAGGAAGATAATTACAGCTCAACAAGGTTTTTGTGATATAAATTGTTTACACAATGAAAAAAAAAGTCAAAACTGAAAAAGAAATGATACAACTAAATTCTCGCATGAACAAAACTCTTTTTTTTTTTTTTTTGGAAAGAGATGGCAAGTGAATGGAAATTTATTTAAATATTTGAGTAAAAATGATAATAAAATAGGGATCAAAATCCTCTTCAGCGCAACAGGGAATATGTCTCAGTCTGTGAGTAATATGTGAATACCAATTTCCCATATCAGTTAGTCAAAAAAGAGAAAAGAAAGTAAATCAACTTTTACTGAAGACGTATTAGTGAATAGTGTATACATACAAAGTTTGCCCCGTCACTTAGTCAAAAAAGACAAAAGAAAGTAAGTCAATTTTTAGTGCATATATACAAAATCTATATATTCCAACTTTTTCCTTAACAACATCCCAATATTTTCCTAATGTACATCTCAATATTTTCTTAAAATACGGTCAACTATTAATCTATTTCTCTTGTCAGGAAAATGTTTGGACGTTGGTCTTGCATCACTATATTTTCCTAACGTACATCCCAACATTTTTCTAACGTGTATCCCAATAAGATAAAGTAATGAATAGTGTGATATTGGTAAGAAGAAAATTGAAATGTTGGTAAGAGGAAAGTTGGGTAAGAGGAAAGTTGGGACGTAGATAAGTCAGTTTTTAGTGTAAACATGGAAAGTCTATACATCCCAACTTTCTCCTTAACAACATCCTAATATTTTTCAAATTTTCTCCTTACTAGTATTCTAACATTTTTCTAACGTACATCCCAAACAAGATAAAGCAATGAATCATGTGATGTTGGTAAGGAAAAAGTTGGAATGTTAGTAAGGAAAAAGTTAAGAGGTAGCTTAGGTTAGGAAAATGTTATAACATATCATTTATATTAAGATATGTTTATTTATGCATTTGTACAATAAGTGGGATATTGGTAAGGAAAAAGTTGTTGTGGCGTATCCAGAAATTTTCTTCGGTGGGGGCAATTTTTAACAGCAATAATATATATATATACATATTATTTGAACCAAAATAATATATGTAAAAATTAAACAGTACTAAATATTTCATAATATTTTTCATATTCTGAAAGCACACAGTCGAGTTTTCAAAATGTTTATAGCATAATAATAGAAAATTTAGATGATAAAAAAATATATATCAGATTACTTGTCTCCATACTGCAGTATTTGTTTAGATTTTGTGAATTTTTGAAATATTAAAGAAATGTTGAAGATTGAAAATGTGATAGAAATTAACAACGCATTTGTTTGTGGTAAAGTCAAAAGTGTGAAATAATATCTTGTATTTTTGGGGAAAGTGGGAAAGAATATAATATTTTGAGAAAGTGAAAAAAAATTATCTTATTTTTTGGAAAGATTATATTCCTTTTTTTTTTTTTATAATACTGTGAATGGTCATTTGGTGATATATATATATATATATGTGTGTGTGTATGTACAGAAGTTTTGCTTTTTAAATTTTTAACTTTTACGATTTTAACTCACTAGCTATGACGGGTCCTATTATTGCGCAGGAGAGGATTTTGATCCATAAAATAGGTGCAACTTCCTCTGATATTTCCTCCTAATTGTTCTAATTATCAAAGGATAATAAAAAGACCTACCAAAGGATAATTATCAAAGGTTATTTCCTACCAAATTGTTCTAATAAAAATGCTGATTAACAAGTTAAAAATAAAAAAAATCATCATTTTTCAATCCAAACCGACAATATCAATCCAATATATAATAAGTCTGTCATTATATGATATTATATTTATAGTATATATATACTCGGGAGCTATAATAATAGGCTTATCCAAAAACAGACGGTAGTGCGAGAGATGGCTCTCCTCCTCGCCAGTACTCCCACTCCCTCCTTTGCCTCACCCTCCTCATCGTCCTCGTCTCCATCAACTACGGCCATCACTGTTAACCCATGTAAGTATCATCTTGTAGTACTTACTAATTACATCATTCTTCTTTTTTATGTATATATATATATACATGTATACATAATTTTGATTCTGATTTTGGGTCTATTCCTGAACATTCACGTTTTTAACTGGTTACTGTTTGATAGCATTGTTATTGCTAATCAATTGGTCATTCTTCACATTTCTTGGGTTTTCCTTCAATCACATCCCTCTGTCCCTTTCTCTCTCTACTTGTATGTATTTGTTTGTGAAATTTAGTTTTTCATCAATGCTATTGTTTTTTGAAGCCTTTTTCTTGTTGATTAGCATTTTGGTTCTCTTAAACACAAATATGATAAATTGCCATGAGTCGTGGTTATACCCATTTGAGTTTTCTAGTGCGCATTAGTATCCTCCTGGTTCAATCCTCTCTACTTTGCATTCGTATGCCCTAATTTCTTGTCTTCTTTGTCTTTCTGCAAGTTTTTACAACCCCTGCTCCCCTTTTATCGGTCATTATTTCACTTCATTCAGACCCTCTCTCGAACATGTAGTCTACATCAAGATGCTTATCACCAGCACGCGCGCGCGCGTGTAGAACCCCTTTTGTTGTTCATGTTTTCTCTTCATTCAGACCCTCTCTCGAACATATGGTCTGCATTGAGATGCATATCATTAGTGCGTGTGTGTGCCCTTATTTTTGGAGCCTGCAATGTAGTCTTTGGATCTGTGTTATATACCTTTTTTTAAAATAATAATAATAATAATAATAAAACAAAAAGAAGCTGGTTTTGTTCTTCTTCTAATTTAAAGTAAAATTTGCTTTTAGTCTCCAGGTTGCACAAGGCATCCATTGTTGTGTGCCCAAAATCGTTCAATGGACTTCAAATATATGCACCCTTTGTACTCAAGGAAAGAGTTGCAGTGATTGTTAAGGCTGCTTCTGTTGATGGAATGGGTTCTGACGGTGGTGAGCCTCCCTCTGAAGGCAAGGAAGAAGTTGTGCCAGTTGAGAATCTTCCTCTGGAGTCCAAACTGCAGTTGAAGCTTGAGCAGAAAACGAGAATGAAATTGGCGAAGAAGATAAGACTTAGAAGAAAGAGGCTCGTAAGGAAGCGCCACCTGAGGAAGAAGGGTCGATGGCCACCTTCAAAGATGAATAAGAACAAAAATGTCTGACCTTTACCTCAAGTTGCTTGCAGGTCTAGTGCTGATTTTTTGCTTATGATATGTCATTTAAAATTGGTGTTTGCGGGACTGAACTTATTTACTTTTGAATGTAATCAATTCTAAAAGGCTTCCTTGATATTTGTTTCAAGTTCAAATTCTGGATGATATAATTGCGCATGGCATTTGTTCCTCTTGATAGATAGACCTGTGCGCATTGTTTTTGAAAGCATATCCTAGATAATATAGCTTTGCAACTTGTTTTTTTCATTTATGTTACAGTGGTAGTTTATGGATTCTATGGCATACCATGCAAATCAATTGTTTGAGGGTTGTCCTTGCATTCAAATATCCAGACATTATCTGGAAAAGAAATTGATGTTCTTATCGAGTTACGTGCTTCCTGCCGTGGTGGCTTGTGTCTGTGTGTCTTCAAGCGTGATTAGTAGCCGTAGATGAAATCTTGCAATCGGTCATCTCATATGAAGAATGTGGATCATAACAAATGTGTTATACGGAGTAAAAGCCTTGGGATATTTGTTCTTCATTACTCCTTCACTTTTCCTGATCTTGTTTTGATTGCATGTCTCAAGGGTTGGCGTCTCTACTTGCATGGTGTAATAATGGCCTAGTTGGGGAGATCGATTTTGAATTTTTCAGCAATGTTTTGGAACAAATAAAAAAAATAAAACTTCGATTTTTTTATTTATTTTCACTAGTCGTATGAAATAAAAGATTTATTTCTTTATTCAGGTAGCATCATGATTTCTGTGGTGAAACCTCATCTGATTTGTTTCTGATTCTTAGGCCTTGTTTTCTTGTCATCTGCACTCTTTCTACATTTTTTTCTAGTATTCTTTCAAAAAATTCATATATTTATTTAAAATTAAAACAAATTATGTCTTTAGAGATGAAGATGTGCATGCTGTGTAGGAATGAGCTTTTCAAGTTCGGGAAAATTACGGGTTAACAGTTCGTTTTCCCTATCAGTACAAAGTACAAACCTCAGGTGGTACTGCTATTGCTTGCACTACCCAGTTTTTGTTCTGCTTTTCTGGGATGTCGGGAGTCTGATTTGTTTCTGATTCTTAGGCCTAAAAAGGAGGCCAATTACACACAAGTTTGTGAATACCTCATCTGATTTGTTTCTGATACTTGGGCCTTGTTTTATTGTCATCTGCATTCTGTCTACATTTTTTTTTCTAGTCTTCTTTCAAAAAAATCATATATTTATTTAAGTACGGAGGAAAATTGCTGGATTGCAACAAGTATTGTTCATTGTAATTGAAGAGTTCTTTTGTGTATGAAGTTGGTAAAAGTAGAAAGGGATGGACGGAAAAACAAGAGAGTGTAGAAAATTTGTATTCTTGTTGCAGGAAATTGCAAGGAGAGATATGAGCAGTTGTATGATGCGAAAATAGATTTTAACTTTCTGTTCTATCATCAATCACCCTAACGACCAAGTTTGCCAAAAAAAACTATTCACATTATTTTCGAGCTAGAAATTAGCGAAAAATTAGTTAAAGATTTCAACTAAATTTTCTTCAATTTCATGCTTCCAGTTTTTAAAATTCAACCCTTGATCTCCACTGATATGCAATCTTCCCATTAAACATAAAACTATACACCTTAGCAGTATTTGTTAGGTCTCACAGATTAATTATCAGTAATCAGCATTTGAAGGATCCACCATAAAACTATACAACATTCTTCTTTTATGCTGCACAGTGGAAATATAAGGAGAAATATGAGTTTGGAGAATGATATTGGATAAGCTTAACAGCATGGTAAGCTAAGATGCCAAGCAGTTTGGGGCAACTCCAATTATTACAATTAGTGTCTTATGTTATTCACATCCTTCTAATTGAAGATTTATGGATATAATCAGGCCCTGCCATCCGAATAATATTGTCCAACCGTGTGAACAAATCCAAGGAAGTGAAAGAATGCGGAGAGAGTGTGACATCCATCTCCTCGTCTGGATTCTCAAGTAGGGTTTGTACAGGCGCCACCTGCATAAAAAGAAAAACAGAAGCTTTTACAAACATGAACCATTCAACTTTACATAATCTTCAGTTCTTCGGAAGTGTTACTCGAATAATACTCGTATTGGGTGTCTAATTGTATCCCTGGACTCAAAAATGAACAAAAAAGATTGTTGGAAATGGCTTAATCATTCCCAACCGACTGCTTAATTATCTTTTTCTTGGTAAAGTGCAAAATACAACCTTGTAATATGCATATAAAACCATGGTACTGTAGAAAAAACCATTTGAAATAATAAAAAAGAATTAAAAAAAAAAAAATTGTACAAAGGAGACGTTACTGCAATTACAAAATATACATTTCACCATGCACAATATCCATATTACAAGGGGGTTTACGTGCTCAATATCCATATTTCAAGGGGGTTACATGCACAATATCCATTTTACAAGGGGTTATATGTGACATTATCCATATTATAGGGAGGTCTATATGCACAATATCTATATTTCAGAGGTTCCTCCTGCACTATATATTAATGGACATACAGGGAGTTTTCTCATTTTGTATATTACAGGAGGTTTTTTGAGATTGAACTAAGATATAGACCTATGAACAAACATGCATGAATCCGCAAAATGGGAGAAACCTTCTGTATACAGAAACATGCTTTCCTGATATAAATATGATTATGAAAATGGAGATGAATCAGTTACCTTCTTTGGCTCTTTGAATGAATTCTCATCCATCAAGTTATCAGATGTGAGCACAGTCTTTGTTGACCCAATTGATTGTATCGAGTTTAGCTTCAGTCCGTCAATAGAAATCTTTAGTTTCACAGTGCTGCTCCCAAAGTTCACAACCTGGAAAAAAATGTTCGCTCCAAAGTGAAAACTGAATAGTGAGGCAAGTAAATAAGAAACAACCAAATATAGACAGGAAACAGATGGTGCATGTAGTCTGCAGTGGCGTGTGTCCAAGACATGAGAGGAAGTTAGATCAGCTAGAGCTTTACAGCAACAATTTCTCTTTCCGTGTGTCAACCAGAGGGGTGTAAATGACAATTTTAATAAGAACTTCCACAGATAATGGTAGCTTGTATTAGAGAAGAAGTAATAGGAATGACTTTGATATACAAAAAGGCAATACAAGATTGAGTCGCCAATCTCAGATCGTGGTATGAGGAATTGTAAATAATAAATTTAAAGCGATGAGGAAACTAAAATATTATACAAGGCACCATTTGCCAAATATCTCAGCATAATATCAGGTTAAAAAATGGAATTATGATCATTATTACATCAGGATTTTGCAAATTTTGGAAAGAAAAAATAAAATAAACGTTTTCCAGCACTGAACATAAAGTTACCTGAGTTTGCTAATCTAAATTCCTTATCCATTTGCTTACCCAAAAAAATAAAAAAATCATATCCATTTGAAATCAAGTATACTATAACCACTTTGCAAGATGTGCTTTTGATGAAAATAATCAAGATGTGATTATTTTCATGAAAATAATCAGGAAAATAATTATTTGTTTTGGGCATGAATGCAAGGCATAGTCCCCAAGCAGGTACAATTTATGCTTCTCTTCATGGCAGATGTTTTTAATATGTATGGCTTGTAATGGTTCAAAGAGGGCCTAATTTTGTAGTCCAAATAGATAATATGCATATCAAGATGAAACATGTAGCCCAATCCATGAGGCTCCCGCTGTTGCAGGGTCTGAGGAGGGAAGGCAGCCTTACCTTCACATGGAGAGGATGTTTCTGGTTTCGAACCTGTGACCTCCAGATCACAATGGAGCAACCTTAACGTTGCGCCAAGGCTCACCCTTAGGTAACAAAATATACTATTAAACTCAAATTTGGTGGGTTTTAATATGATCTCAATTAACATAATTCAATGTTAGAGGATTCTGACGTTCAATATGGGAGTGTTTCTAAACCTTTATTCTTAAATAATTCTTTTTCTCCTCCAAGTTTTGCCAAGTAATAGCAGAAGCAATAAGCGAAGTCGATGAGTTGGCTTCGAGTGTTGAATTAAGAAGTGTTGCACCATTTGACTCTGAGAAGAAGCGTTGCATCCAGTAACTAGGAGTTCCATACTGATGCGAAGAGTTAAAAACAATCGCATCTGGGTTCCACCTTAATTAAAAAAAAAATTCCCAATTAGGTAAGTCACTTAATAATAAAGGTTGGTTCAGAAAAGAAGAAAGAAATTTTACTTCCTGTCATTGGAATTCACGAACAAGGGTGCATAGCTTGCCATTTCAACAACATCACTGCATTAGAGGAGCAAATGCAAGCCCTCAATAACTAATGCTTTAGAATAGAACCAAAAATAAAAAGGGACTTATCAAAAAAATAATAATAATAAAAAGGGCTAGCAAGGCAACATATATATGCACATACAAAAAATACTTATATGCGTGTACGCATTTAATATATAATGAGGAGGAATTGTTGGACAACAACTAGGCTCCTTTCTGCCTACTGTCACTGCTTATTTTTCAGAACAGTGCTTTTATCCTAATTTTTCTGGTAATTATTACTGCTACCCTCATTGGGAAGTAAAGGAGAGAAATCACAAGTCATAGCCAGTGACGTCGTGATACCTTCGTTCTCAAGATCCCCATCTTAATCGATTTGAAAAAGTATGATCTACCTATTCAACATATATAAGAAGCACTTTTTATAATGATTAATTAGAACAACAAAATTAGTTCAATACGGTTCCTGATTTCTGCAAGTATCAAAATTCAATCCACATATAGGAAAAAAAGGAATTTCGACAGGTGTTGTGTGATGAGCTACTTATTATCAGCATACTAAATGTTAAAAGTAAAACATGTGGTGCAATCAGCTAAATATCTACTTTTGTGATATATTTAATGGAACAAGGAAACTGCATATTTCCTATTTTCCCTAGTTCAGACTCCACACCCATTTTTCCCCTATGAGGCCTTGAACCCTTGACCATCTACTTTAGAAGCTGAGGAAATATTATTGGGCTACATCCCTTGGTACATCAGCTGCAGATTTTATTTTTAATTTTTTTTTCCATTTCTTTGTGGGAGATAAACTAAAGATTCCAGAACCCAACTAGAATTGGAGCATACCAAGGGTTGTGGCCCATGTTATCTTCACTACCTCCCTAAGTGAGAGGCCGGCGATTAAAAATTCCACAGGGCCAAATGGGGTTGTTGTTAGTTATTTGTCCATGACCAAAAAATAAAAATAAAAATAAAACTAGCAGCCCTAGTTAGAAGTCATGTCCCCTAGAAATCAACCCTAAGAAAACTCGTATCAATTACAACTATTACCTATAAAATAACTCTCTAAGGGGACTTCCTGATAACATAAAAAGAACTTCGTCAAAAACACACGCCTCCTGGATGTTGTGTATATAAATCAGTATCAAGAAGGAATATTAGCATTTGTTTGTATTTTATAAATAAGCACAGTTTTGACTGAATGAATGCAAATTTGCAAGAGGTAAAGCGCATAATTGCTTTGAAAACTAAAATAGACCTGTTCCTCTCTAGCCCAATAAGGAATCCACCTTCAGCCAATGCCGCCAAAAGACTTCCTGTGCCGGCATCTTTTCCAGTCACAGCATACTCACTTACAAAAGCCTGAAAGTCATTCAGTGGCAGGATTTTTCACCAACAATTTCTGAAGCAAATTCATGAATTGTTAAAAGGTACATCAACGCACCTTTGGACCATTGCGTGATACACGATCAAATTTATGAGCCAATGAGAACAGGTAGTTTGCATTGCTGTAAACCTAACCATGGAATTGAAGTCTTAAACAAGTATACTTGCCATATTGCTGAGATCTTGCAACCCTTATATTCACACTATAGTGAAAAAGATATTAAAGTGAAAACTCATTTAGATATGTGGCACTGTGCTGAAGTTGAGAAACTTACATGAAAATCATACAAATCAGTCGGGTGATCCAACGGTTGAGAAGAGCCGTCACAGTTAGAGATTATTTTGATGTCTGGATATGCACGTCTTATAGCATAATAGAACTTTAGGAAATTTTCTGGCCGAAAGAAAAACATGAGTGTTCAAGCATACAAATGTGAAGGTCTAAACTTGATTAGAGAGAACAATAGCTTTTTTGCCAGAGTAAAGTATGCAATTCAATCATTGACAATTCACTACATTCTGTTTTAGAACACTATGAAAAGCAAATTCATAAAATAAAATAATAATAATAAAATCTAGTTCGTGCCTATTTTGCATACTCTGACTATCAGAGCCTTGGGTACAACCCTCACCCATCAAAATATTAAGTTTTCATGGTAAAAGTCATTCTAAAAACCATATCCAAGCATCCAAACCAGGAAAGAAGCAAATTGAGAATTTCAAATGAGCACACTTTGGACCTTGCTTAATAAATTCTTTCTTCATTTGAGTCTTGATTTATGCTTTTGTAAGTTAATATGTTGTTGGTCAATTATGTTTATGCTTTCTTATGGTTAAGGAATCAAGGGTAATTTAGCAAATTCAAGAATTGTTGTACATGAGCTATGAGAGTCCATAAATATGTGTGTTATTTTTCTATTTAAAAGAGACAAGCTCTTAGAAATTGGTAGAAACTTTTGAAGCTTTAAGTGATTGTGTAATGCAACCACAACCCTAGGAGTGAAACCTGAAGTATTCTATGTGGAATTCCTCAAGACTTAATCTTCTTCTTCTTCTCCTTCTTAACTCAATCCTTTACAATCAAGTTTGTCTTACTCACAATCAATCCTTAATTTTGTTAGTTTTTCATCCCAAAACCCTAAATCCAGTAATCTTACTCCTTTCACTACCCATTTGGTTAATTTTATTCAAAAAATGCTGAATAGTTTCTGTCAATAATTTCCAATAACATAAATTCTAAAAATCCAAACACGTATCACTTTCTTAAAGACAACCAATTTCATTCCCTTTACATCTAGCAATCCCACTACTTCTCCTTCATCCTTTTAATCTCTGAACCTGCAAGCTTTTCAAAACCTTAGTCCACTATAAGACCAATTGTAAGCAGTATTATTTTGAGTGTCCTAGTATTTTCCTAAATCAATTAGCAAGAGAAATGCATCGTACTAAAAATAAATACATACCGCGGTAAGTCTTAAACCAACAATCCTCATTCCCAATAGAAACATATCTCAAATCAAAAGGATCTGGGTGTCCCATTGCAGCTCGAACAGAGCCCCATTTCGAATCAGGATCACCTCTAGCAAACTCAATTCCATCAAGGGCTTCCTACAGTCACAACAAGTAATATCAAGAATCAAATCCAAAGATTGCTATCTTTGATGCTGAATGAATGAGGCTGACTCTTGCATGACACGTACATCCCAAAAGAGTGTAGATATCAGCTAGTTGTATCTATCAATATTGTATAATTAACTCTTTAATAATAAATTATCACAGGAAAAATTAAATTTATTGATTAACAGAAACATTAAGTATTAGATTCTCTTAAACTGTGATTAGCAAAAAATCGTTAGCTCCAATAAAAAATATAAAAGACAATACATACTTTCAATAATATTTATAGCATGTCTAACAGTTATACTCTATGGTGAAAATAAATGGATTATTCTTTTATTAATTAATTATTAACTTAAATGCTAATTTTTTGGTTGAGATTTCTGCCAGCGAGAAACATAAAATGTAAGATTATTAAATGTTCATCCATGTTTGCATTTGTCCATATATGCATTCTAACAATTTATAATAGAATAGATTTTTTCAAAAAATTATTAAGCAATAGAATAGTTATTATTAACCATGACACCAAATTGGTTCCTCCAGAGCTATCAATACTAGAATTATGTTACTAAAAATTAATTATTAGAGGGGGACTATATCATGAAATGAACTATTCTACCATGTCCAGATTTTTCTAGAATTATCAGCACTAGAATTATGTTATTAAAAAAAATGTACAGATTTTTCTTAAAACAAATGAATCAGGGTGTCTGCCAAATTTCCTCTGCAGAAGTAGCATTAGCCCCAAAAGTTAATGAATCTAAACATTAAGTAAGGACATTTGCAGCTCTAGTCATTTATGTTCAGGATCTGCATTAAATAAAATAATTTGGAGAAATAGGGATTTATTGTAGCAATGAATCAATGCAAGTTCTAAGCTCCTCATTAAGAGCTTCCAGTAGCAGGTCGAGTTCAAATCAGTCCATAAAAGGTCGAGAATATGGTTCTTGAAGTACAATATTCTATTAAAAATCTAGAGCCGGATGATCCAATCTATCATTGTTGAAGGATTTAAATATTAAAGTTACACCCTCTCCAACGGCTTAAACTTTTAGAGTAGATAGTTTTTAACAATCATAAACGTTGTGGAAAGGAATTTAAATTCACATCTAACAATCAAAAATTTGGCATGTATCAGTAAGTCAAGTTCAATAATTATTTTATTTTGTATACTTGGGCACACTGAATTACCTGATCTCACTGAATGCACAATTAAGTCTGATTCAATTGCATTAGTAGCATATTAAATTTTAATCAAATCATTTTGGAATCTTTTCTAGTACCATGTTGTTTGATCAGTTTCAGTAACAATGATCTTGTGCATTGGAAAAGTGAAAGACTTAGAGACGTACTTGAATAAAATAGAATATGTTAGAAGGATCAACATGATCATTATGGCTCATTCCTGAAAAAGGAAATATAATATCATTAGTTGCAGTCTCTTTTAGAAACAAAAAATGCAGGTTAATTTATCAACTAAGTAGTTCCAAAAGTACCATTATTGAATACCCATACAGGCGATGCACCTAGGTCCTCTGCCAGCTGCAGAAACAAAATGGTGGCAAATATAAATGGATTAAGAGGACTTTTAGGAAGTTCTTCAAATAACCAAGACTCTAAACCAAGCCTTCAATCACAGGGAATCACAAGATATAACCTGAAGAAACTCAAAATAACCAAGTCCATCATCAGTCCAATAACTCCAAACATCACCGAAGTGTCCAGGCCGTTCCTCCCAGGGTCCAATACTTTCTTTCCAACGAAATGCATTTCTTAACCATTCACCTTCGACAAAACAGCCACCTATCGCAATTGACATAGAAAAGAAATTGTAGTCTTAAAATTGTGAGGATCCCATGAAATATGGTGCTGGCACACAAGGAGAAATCAGGGGGAAAAATACTAATATAAAAAAAAAAAAATGCAGAGGATTTGAGAAATTTTAACAACCACTTCAATTGAGCAAGATATACAACAACAAACAAAGACTTTTCCCAACTGCTTGGGGTAGGCTACATGAATCATATTCTTCCATTCTGCTCCAAGGCCATAGCCTCAGTCAAATCACATGTTATTATATCTTTCTTAGTAACTCCACCTACGTTAACTTTGGTCTTCCGCTTCCCCTAGCAGTACCCACTCTTTCTAATTGAGAAAATTTTGTTTCATAATTCATAGTTATCCCATTAGGTTATCCACCTTTGATCCTCATTTAGCTGAGAAGGACTGACTAGGTACAACCCTAACCTTTCGCAATTTTTTGCACAAAGTGACTGCCTTCAAACTCAAGCTCCCTTCTCATGCTTGGCAGTCCAAACTCTCACTAATGCACCTAGCCATGGCCATTATAACCCATAGGTGACCCATTGCACAAGATCCATCCGGAAGAGGCTTTGAGAATGACACTCTTTCCTTTCTCCCTGAAAGATAAAGCTAAGCATGTGTCTTCGGGATGAGGAATCTGTGGATCACCTTCTCCTCCATTGCAACATGGTTAAAGACTGCTGGAATTTGATGTTTGGCTTGTTTGGGATTCTTTGGGTTATGCCTGGATCCGTTAGAGGGTTGATTGAGGCTTGGAGAGGTTGCCATGTGGGGGCTCACATTGTGGATGCTTGGAGGGCTACGCCTCTTTGTGTGTGGTGGTGTATTTGGCTCGAGAGGAATAGAAGATATTTTGATGGGAAGGAGTTGTCGATTTCTACTCTTAAATTCTCTATCATTTCCACCCTTTTTTGTTGGGTTTATGGGAGAGATCATAGATCTTTAGACGAAATTGTCGATTTTTTGGCTTCTTTGAAGGCCTAAAGGTCCTTTGTGGCCTTGTGTATATTTTCAGGGTTTCGCTCCCCTTTTGAGCGCTTTTATAAAATTTTTCTTACTTATCAAAAAAAAAAAAATACTCTAGGGGCAAATAATTTCACTTCTTGGGCTCACATGAAACCATTCACAGCAGCACTGTAAGATATTACCCTTTAAAATACTATAATACGGTACGAAGTACTGATAGGAATTTAATGTAACAAAAGTTTTTAAAGTGTGGTTCAGGAGTTGGGATTAAGTATTTAAAATTTCATGCATACAAGATAGCATTTAGAATCAAGAGTTCAGGGATTAAATTTCCTTTTGAAATTTGTAGATTCCACATGACGCATATCCATTAAGTGGTATAATTTAAAGTCAATGAGTTCATGGATTAATTATTCTGAATATGCCATCTGTCTTGTAATGGCCACCACTATCATACTGAAGTCAAAAAGCGTTTTTAAGGGGACAAAGATGTCTTAAAACAAAAACCAATTGGTAGTGTTCAAGACATTAGCGAGGCTTTCATGTGAGTTGCAAAAAACTACAAAATTTATAGTGCATAAGTGACCATCAAATGCACAGGAACTGTTAAAACCGAGCAATATAATCACCAAAACATTATATAGATTAATGAACATTTAGGCACATTATAAAGAGAACTCAATGCCAGAAGCAAATCTGTATAAATAAAACTTGAAAAATAATCAAGACCTGTAGGAAAATGCATTAAACAACTTTAAGAAAACTCCTTTTTCTAACAAACATGCATTAAGCTTAATAAAAGGTTGTTTATTCAGTTTCCTAACTGAAAGAAAAGTGCAAAAAGTTTGTGAGACGTAACACCACAACTTCGGAAAGTCAGTAGGCCTCTGCTGACTATTCACTGAAGAGTTTCCACATCTCAAAGAAAAAAAAAGGGCGTAAATGAAATAAAAGAAAGAGTAAAGACACAAGAAACTAGTAAAAACTATTTAATGGCACCAGCACAAACAACTGAAATGATCAAATAAAGATAAAACAGGCAAAACTGAATGCATGTATGAAATTCCAAATATGTCTATACACTACATGGAGACCATCTAGTGAACAGTCTTGTCAAAATCAATAGAAAAAATATATAAAAGTTGCTTCCGTAAATGTTAAAACTAAGAATTTAATTCATAAAGTTGATATATTCGAATATGTTACATGAAATGGCCCGAGCTGCAAACAATACACATAATAAAAATATGAATACCTGGAAATCTAATAAATCCAGGTTTCAGTTCTGCAATCATTTTAGAAAGCTCATTTTGGAAGCCATGTCCCTGTGCCAAGATAAAGGTTGGCAAAGGTTAATAATACTAAAGAAGATTTATATGCCTATCAAGAAGGTAATAGGTCAAGCTCATTGAAACATAAAGGTCATGAAGCAAGGATACTTCAAATGAGAACAAGTGCCCTTCATCTTGGACAAATTTAAAACACCAACGCTTCATTGACACTCTTGGACACATGTTCAACATATTTGAAAATGTCCACCATCTTAAAATAAAATTCTTGATTTAGAGATGATATCGACTCATCAACGTGTGACCAATGAACCTTGGACTAGGATATTTTGCATTGGAAAAATAACATTATTGGAAGAAAAAATCAATTTAAAAGTTCATCTAGAATTTATCAAAAGCCTATAATATCCCAATAACTCTAAGAACAATTCATGCATTATACAATTTACTGATCTTTATGCCATTACAAGTATTGTTACTCTCTTGAACGGCTTCTCTTTCATACCTGATCATGCAGACTGCTTTTCAGAATCTCAATTGATAAGAAAATTCATTTTTTCCTTCTTCTTTTGTTTTCTTCATGCACATATTCCTTTTTCTCTAATATAAATCAATATAGTTATTGTCTTAGATGCTCCAATTAAATCTTATAACTTCTAATGCAAAAAGTTACTAATCCTGAAACTTTTCCTTGGTGAGCATATAGGAACCTAGGTGTCTATAACCCATTTATTTAGCACAAAGAGACTTCCATTCGCTCATGTCTGCACTTGAAAGAAGAAAAAAACGATAATAATAAAAACTAAGCACTTTACATAATGAAATGTCTGATTTAGTTAGAAACTAAAGCCACGCCTGGGGCCCTAACTTATATAAAAAGATCAGGATAAAGGTTATGACAGTTCACCTGTACAATATATTTATTGAGAAGATAAAAACATGTGCAAATATAGACAACTGACATTGTACAACTAGCTAGAATAACATATTGACCAGGAAGAAGTATAGGAAAAGACACATGCCTTGAATGTGTCCAAGGGCATCATTGACACTTGATCAAACCATATGACTCCTTTCCTCGCTGTTGTCAATTGCAGTCTTGAATTATGACTAGTTTCTTTTGCTTCAAGTAGAACCTCCACCTTTGTCCAATCTGAAACATCATCAGCTCTGCAATGACAATAATTAAACTCGAATACATTCCAAAAGGACAATTTAATGTCAAGCATCTATAGATCAAAGCTTATCCGGAGAATGTCTGAATGCCCAAATGGTACTCACACAATGTCAGCGGTAGCCAGATTTTGTAATCCACTTGAACTGGTCAATGAGACAGAGATATTAATTGGATCCAGTGAACGAACATACAGAACCACCTTATAGGTCTTCCCTTGTTGAATATTCTTTGGTAGACAAAACCAGAAGGATTCATATGGCAACAAGCTAGATATTAGTACAAACAATTTGCAGAAATTTCATAAATAATTAATCATGGATCTGAGAAACTCTGTTCGCTAAATAAGGACTAGTGCTCTAACTAGAAAATAGAAGTGTAACTATAATTCTTAAAACCAACTCAAAATAAATTGAAATGGTTTCCTCTAAACTCTAAACCAACGAAATTTGATCTATGGATTGATACAACAGTCCAACAGGCTTATTTATGATGAGCCACAAGTTGCAAATTTGAGCACTTGGCAACCATAATCCAATCCACTGTAGTTTACAGCTCACTAGTAGATAAGCTTTTGTTTCGAGACACAAGAATTCCTTCTTATGGGAAGGCAATAATAGACAGTAGAGGTGAAAACCATATCACATCAAGTGACTAACATAAACAGGAAACTTTTAGTGTCGTGATCTTATATGTTTAATTCTTAGCGCAAACATGGTTTAAAATTTTAATTTTGTTCAGTTCCAGAGTAAATTATCTATCATACTATCTTGAATGAAACTACAACTTTTCCGTCAAACCTACCATACCACATTCTGACTTGTGACAAGAATCGTGGACTTGTTTCAAAATCTTTTCCTTTTTCTTTTTCTTTTTGTTAAATGAACTTTTTGGAATTCTTCATGATATATCATTTTGTTTTGTTTTCTACGACAATACAACCATGAATTCACATTTTATCATTTTAATCCACCCCCACCCCAGAAGAAGAAGAAGAGGAAACAAAGAAAAAGACTCCTCCAAACAAATAATCTTTAGAATCAAAGTGGAGAAAACCTTAAGCTGGCCACACAAAAATTAACTAGGAGGCAACTACCGGTTCCCTAGGAGGTAATATTTGTTCAGAGACTCCTAAGTTGGTGGCACAAAAATTCCTTCTTCTTGCAAGGCAATATCAAAGTTAACGGGGAAAAAAAAAAATCTAACGAATGAGTTTTAAAAATTGCTAGAGGCAACTAACAGATAACATCAAGAGATCAACATAGATGTTTAAACTAATAGTGGTGTGACACTTTGACTTTACATTGTTAGTTCTTATTAAAAGGGAAGGCAACTACTTTTACACTTAAAAGTATCATTTCACACTTTAATTCATAATTATTAATTAATCTGTATAAGCCTCACAAACTATGTAAGTCTCACATATAAATCATAAACTATCAAGAGATGTATGACAAGAACATGACAGTTATATTCATATGTCCATGCACTATATGTGAGACGGAAACATTATTTACTAACAACTAGTTACCTAGAACATATGAACTGTTAAGAAATGGGCCTGAAAATGTATATCAAGCTTTCTAACAACCCCAATATGTTTGACCCTATCTAACACATGAAGACATATACAAATAAGATAGTGTATACTTTTAGATGAATAAATGACACAAGATAACAAAATTTTGACCCTGTCTTGCACATGAAGCTGCCTACAGTCAGAATAGGTGGCAACTTCTTACCATGCCCCAGAATCCAGGGTTATAAATACCAACTCCTCCAGCTGGACAAATATTGGTGCCTTTGCTGTCACAAAGCACCTCCATGCGAAGGGCAATTTTATTTCGTTCAAAGCATGATGAGCGGTCTGTTGATACAAGTAGAGATGCCTCGTTCCCAATTATAGACCAAGGAGCGATATTTGAGGGAGTAGTTTGGCCCCCAGCTTCAAAACCTGAAAAATTAAATTTCATGAGAAAACATCATTTCGAAACATTCACAAACAGCATAAGAGATAAGAAAGGCCCCTCTTAATCATATATGTTTCAGAAAAATATAGATAAAAATTTTAACTGATTTTCCCCCTTTGTGGAACAAGATAAGGAATAAAAAGAAAGCAAATGAAGTTTCAACTGTAGTTGTTGATCTATGAGTAAACACCATGCACCACTTGAATAGCATGATACAATGAAACATCATAGAAGTTTTCTTCTAGAAAAAAAAATATCCTATAATACGATGTATGCTTGAAAAGAAAATCATGAGAACAAAGTAGCTCCAAAAGTCTATAAAGTGCATCAAATCATATGATTTTTTTCTCAGGCTCTCCTCTCATGTAAGTCAGATATCAAATTTAATATTTCCCTTCACATCTAATGACACAAATCCTAATCTTTTGTATGCTATTAAAGCATTGACAAAATTGAATTATCAATCTACTGAATTCCACAAGCAAAAGATTTATATCTTGACTAGAGAGAAATTAGAAATGACCTCTGTTACTCACAAGCTCTGCCCACAACCCACCAGCCCCAGCATGGTTGATCTCCTGCAAGATAACATTTTAGAGAATTGTCATTCTCTAATTAACCACTGGACTGCTTTTGATCTATTTACTCACATAATGTTATTGTATGGATGAACAAACTATAAAAAATCTAATATTAAACTACTATATGGATCCAAAACTCCCAATCTCTAGTCAAATTTGATAAGGGCACTTGTGACAGAAAAGTTTTTGAGCGATGCATGAACAAAATATACATACATGTACAGATACCATAATCATTAAACAATTTGAATTTGAAGTGCAAACCAGGAGAGTAATAAAGACAATATTATAATAACACTAATATAGATAGTAGAAGCAAAGGAACCAAAATTTTAACTGAAGAAGATTTCATCACTGTGAAGAATAAATTTTACCTCAAAGAATAAACCAAACAGAGTTTCAGGTATCTTCCGGCCCTTTGCTTCAGAAGCATCCACATAAAGCTTTGCCGTCTGGTTTGTATCGACCTCAATCGCATAACATTGATAAGCACACAACAGAAAGAAGCAGCAAAGCAGGACACGGTAAGAGCCCATTGCTTTGTCACAAAGTTCAACGCTTGTGCAGGCTATAAGAACACATATAAAAAGAAGCTTATCCAATATTATTCCGATAAATTAACAGAAGAAAAGGAGTAAAGCGAAAACAGCATTAACAGTTTCCACAACCACCTCATGTCATCAACATAAAAAGACATTATAAGATGACCTTTGCAACCATCAAAATAGTTAGTCTGTTAAGACTTAAGGGTGTCATTTATTTTAATCCCAATAACAGTATAAACATGTGGACAGCTTGACATCAAAGGGTGATCAGAACTGTAATAAGTGTTGATGTTACAATTATTTCAGTTCAAATAACACTGTAAAATCTGAATTAAAAGCATTTGGTGAAAATGATCATATTTAATACACAAAAAGAAAGAGAGAGATTCCAACAAGAGGTTAATGGTTTAATTAAGTTCCAATTGGAACAAAGTGACTCTGTGAATGTCTCACCTATCAAGAGAGAGAGGGTAAAAAGTGTAATTAAAAAGATAAACTTGCCGATCAGTTTTCATTACCGAATGATGATTGATATAAACACTTCAAGAGTATCTTATGTGTCCAATCACTACAAATATCGATCAGGCATTGTAGCATTACTCTCAACTTTCATGTGGAGTCCATTAGATTACACAAGCATATTAAATAGACCGACTATACAAGCCGACTATAACACCATCATTAATTACATTCTTGTGGACGCATTGGAAAATGACTATAATCAATAAATAAAATAAAAATAAATAAAATAAAATAAATTCAAAATTTTAATCATTACTCGGAAAACCGAAAAAAAAAAAAGTCAAAATTTTAACCAGTACTCGGAGGATGTGTTACGTTAAAGTGGACCCCACGTGAATGTATTGGTTTGTATAATCGGCCTAGTTAGTCAAAGTATATTAAATACAACGATAAAAGCTATTTGACAAGATGATCGATTCAAATCAGAGTGCAAATACAGAATTAGTAGAACAAACCCAGATATGATCAAGAACAATTAAAAAGATAACCCCATATAAATTATTATGATGAATAAAGAAATAATTGTTGAACGAAATAGATAGAAGAAATAGAAATAAACAGAGAAATAAAAGAAAATTTTCATGAAGATAGAATTAATAATCAGACGGAGCAAAGTTACCTGGAGTGAGAGAGAGCCAAGAGACTCCCCAAGCGGGAGAGATTTTACAGAGATGTGGGCGAGTTAGAGAGAGAGAGTGGGTGTGATGATGGTATAAAAAGAAGAAGCCCCCGTGGGTCGTCGGATGATAACGGATATGTCAAACAGGTAGGGGCACAAAAATAGGCAGCCTTTGCTTGCACGTGAGCATATCAATCAATCTTAAACATTCGGCAACTGGCAAAACACTAACACAAGACTCTCTTGTATTAACTCCAACTGTTGTTTGAACATTTCTTCCGGTGGACCCCAATTTTCGATCAAGTCTAGAGATAATTTTTCTTTCTGTTACGGAGTACTACATAATTATAATAGTAATAATAATAATAATAGAAAAGTTAAAATTTTATCCTACAATAATTATATATATAAAAAAAAAGTTAAAATTAGTTATCCAGCTCTGTAGCCTGTGTCTAATCTCAAAAAGTAATGATAGAGAATTGGAGCTTGAATAAATTTTACTTGGTAGTATCATGATTTTAAAAATATTAATGACATCATAACGATGTCAGCGCATAAATTTGTCTCAAAAATTTTAAATAATTATCCAATTTCAAAACTTGTTTTTTAGTAAATTAGATTTATCATAATTATATCAATCTTTCATTTTATTTGAAAATTTATACTGATCTCTTTTGCACATTATAATTGTGTAAATAATTTATTTAAGTACATAATTTTTTTTTTTTTTTGGAAAGGTAACTGGCCTCTCTTTAAAGTGTTTTCCGATTATTTATACAGAAAAATTACATTACAACTAATTCCCTGTTTATTTTCCTTGATTTTCTTGAGGAGGTTACAGTCGCTTCACCTGTTATGCGAGTAAATCAGGGCCAAAAATGTAAAATTGCAGACTTTGTTAAAACTTAAAAGCATTGGATTAAGGTATTAAACAAGGAAGGGCAGTGTAATTTGTTAAATAAAGAAAAGAGGTCCATATAATCATGATGAGCCTCAAGAGAGATCAATAAAACTTATTCTTAAATTAGTTTTTTATTTTTATTTTTAGTAGTATTAAAAATGGTACACATGGAGTGGAAGACATAACTGTAACTAGAAATAAGATAAGACATGATTAGGCACTCATTGGATTGTTTGTATTATCATTAAAATCTTTTGTTTGTTTGAGTGGAAATGATATTTATGTGCATTTTTGGGCAAGAATCAACTTTTATAAAAAATAACATATATAGGAGGAATACTTGTAACGAATTCTATCCAGATTGCTGCTATTACCAACAAAATGACTAGAAAGAAGACGTGTAGTGTGTTTTTTGCAAGGCCAATTGGTCATGCGTTTACTCCAACACCAAATTCTACAGTACTTCTTTTAAAAAATTAAAATATATAATACTTAATTAAGCTTGCTTATCTACATATCTATATATATATATATATAATATTATTCTTATTATGCTGAACTCATACGATGTATCTGTCAAATCAATGGAAATCTTTGTAATCTAATAGCTCCATTTAATGTCCCTCCACTTGTAGAAAGCCTACAATATCCATATCAGGAGGTTCTTACCCGTATTATTCATCGGGTGAATCCATTTAATGTCCCTCTACATGTAGAAAGCCTACAATATCCATGTCCGGGGGTTTCTTACTGGTATATTATTCATCAGGTGGGTTCACATCAGGTGGGTTTTTCAGCACCACATCTAAGGGTTGAAAATTTTAAAAGTATTGTACCCTAAAAGTATTAATAACTCTCGTATTTCAGTCTCCCTCCCCTTCATTGGATAAAAATAATAATAAAAAAATAAATAAAATCACTCCCTCTCCAAGAATCAAAACCCACATCTGATTACATAAAAAGAGAGTTACAAAATGTGGCCCAATTTCCTACTATCCCAAAGCATTTGGATAGCCCATCTACAAACACAGTTACGTAAGAAGTGATAAGTAGCCAAAAAAAAAAAAAATTTGATTATCAGTTATATTATGCCTTTTATTTTCTTAAAAATCACAGTAGAATAAAAAATACAGCTCTCTTTAGTACATGTTTCATTTTCCCCACAATTATAGCCCTCTAGGTTCCTTTGCATATCACTTCGTCTTTTAGATAATTGTGGTTTCAGAAGTAAATGTTAGTTTTATGTTAATTCTTTACTTCCAACTACCTTTGTATAATTTCTATAAAAAAACAAATGGGTAGTAATATTCGCATTCAAAATATAATACAATAAATATTACTTTTTGGGAATCTAATTCTTTAAGATGATGATTTTTATGCCCCTTTTGTAGGGAGTAAGAAAATTGGATGGAAGAGAGAATAAGAAATGAATGTGATATCCTTAAAAAAATATATATATATTGTGTTTTTTTTTTTTCTTTTTGTTTGATTGGATATAAGTGAATTAAGTTAATGAGATAATATCTTATTTTGTTTAATATGAGAGAGAGAGAGAGAGCGAGAGAGGGGGGGGAGAAAGAACGTTAATTATAAATAAAGTTTTGTAATTTAATAACTTTTACAATACTGCCTTTTTTTTCCCTTGCTTCAGTCCATTTTTGGGGAGACGAAATTTATGAAGGGGAATAATGACTCTTTTCTCTTATCTTCTTGTCTCATCTCTATCAAATGAACAAAATTTGTTTATTTTTTCTTAGTCTTCCCTCCACCATTTTTCAGTTTTTCCTACCTACAGTGAGTCCAAAATGATGTGATAGTAAGAAATAAAACTTAAATGGAAGGGAGATAAATAATGATGGATGAGGCATCCCTAAAGAATAGATTGTGTGAACTCTTTTTGTTTAGTTAGATGGAAGATAAGAAAATAAATTCATAATTTATTGTGTTCCTTACAAGATAAGGAAATATAAGGTTTTAATTTAGGATTGTAGTGATTTATAGTATTTTAAAGAGAGACTTTTAATTCTATAATAGCCTCACCTGTTTTTCTCATTTATTCAGCCCATATTTGGAGAGATTAAAATTTGTAAAGAAGGAAAATTTGTGAAGGACAATAGATAAACTCATCATTCCTATTATCATTTATTTTCCCTCATTTACAAATTTGTAAAGGATAATAGATAAATTTATTTGTTTCATTCCTATCAAAAGAAGAAAGATTCTTCATCCCTGCTTATCTTTCCTCCTTCACACATTTTCTTTTATTCATATTGAATAAAGAATTGATGGGGGAAGGTTAGATTGACAATCTTACTAAAAATAGTATATTGACTTTTCAATTGGAACAATTATTTTGGAACAAATAAAAATAGAAAGGTGGGCATTTTTTATTTTTTTAGGAAGGAAGGAGCAATTTATGAAGGTGTGATATGTCGGTTGATTTATAATATTGTGTTTGTGAAAGTGCAATGGGTATCAATATTTATTATTATTTACAATTGTGTCAATTGGTAGATCCTGTAAAGGCACAACTTGTTTTTAAAAGCCATGTTTTTTTCGTGTGTTCTCGAAATTCACCCACATCTGTTGGTGGATGTGGTCTATATACAGTCCATTAAGTTTTTGAAATCAACAAAAATGTTGAAATACTAATCACTCGGATCTTCTTTTTCATTTGAAGCGTGGAACTACTATGTTATAGTGTTATGCGTGAATCAAAATTTCTTTTTACTTTTCTCAACCTTATAGTTTTATTATTTATTTCAGAGTTCTACGAGATCCAATACCATGTTAATTTAGGAGTGTTGTCCGTTAAATTAATTATCTATCTATATTATTATTAAAAGTACAAAATTTTTTTTATCTAACTTTGAATTTTTATTTAATTTTGAGTTTTTAACTTTATATCCTATATTTATTATTTTTTAAAAGAGTTTTTTGAGGAGTGTTTTCATAAAACTCTATCACATATTTACATATTTATTTTAAAAATAGTATTTCTATTTAGATTAGTTTCTATATAACTCCTCTATCACATATTTAGGTATTTATTTTTAAAAAATAATTTTATTTTGAAGAGGGTTTTTCTAAATCTCTAATACATATTTATATTTTAAAAAGAGTTTTTACTTATATATATATATTTTAAAAAAGAGTTATTATTATTATTTTGAAAGAGTTGCCTTATGTAATTTGGAGTTTTTATTACTTATGGTAAAGAATTATTTAAATGAGAAGTCGTTAATCCATGAACTTTGATCTTTACTCTTAAAATTTTGTTTCGTACTCATGAATGTGCAAAATGCCATGTTTGTTATGTGTTTTGTTTTTCTATTTTTGTTTTAATCCGAAACAAAATAAGTATTTTGTTGTAAAGTGTTTTGAATAGTAATCGAAAACATATTTGGTAACGTCCATTTGTTGCAATATTTTTGGAATCATTTGATAAAAAAATATGCAAATTTGAAAAATATAATGGTTAGTTGTAAAATGTCATTTAAGAGTTTTTTTTTTTCCCCGAAAAAAAGAAACTATTCGTTGTTACAGTGCAAAAATATATAAAAATACCAAATTAGTTTTTTGACTTTTGACCACTATTCAATAAACATTTCGACACTGTAAAAACCACAAATTTTTTTTTTACCAAATGAAATACTACTACAGGACTTAAAACAAAAATACCAAAAACCAAACGTGTACCAAACATTTCCTAATTAATTATTTGTCAAATAAATAAATTTATTTTGATTATTTTGTAAAAAAAAAATTTAAAATTAAGATTAGAAATTAATTTTGAGTTCATCACATGCATCGCATTGTCTTTTACTAATATATATATAAAATATATCTTACCCTAATGAAATATTTTAAACTAGAAATTAATGTTTAGCTATCCAATCTTAACAAAACACATAAGGTCAAATTTAAGTATCTTCACAGTTTTTATAGTCGTTTATTAGAGAGCATAAAATTTGTAATTCCAATATCCTAGAATTTTTGTCCATCTCTTTCATTTTTTGGATGTCCAAAATTTATGTTCCTGTTGAAAAAGTAGAGAGTAGAAAGATTGTTTAATTTCAAAAAAATTCTTGAAAATTTTCAAAACTTTACTTAACCAACTTGGCATTTTCTTATAATAGACTAAATAAACAATTCACAAACCAGTCCGTGACTTGCTCATCAGAGAGAGTCACGAGGAATTTCAATATATCTGTCATCTCAAACTTTTAAGTTACTAGAATGTTATTAATATTCCTCCAAACACTTAGAAAGTATAAAACTCAGCATCAAGTGCATGCCCTTGTAATGCAACTTGGATTATTCTTGCACTTCCCCATATCCAACAGCCGTTTGTCTCACTCATTACAATTTCATTTTTTCTTTTCAATTTAGATACGTTTGTTTTACCATAAAATATTTTTCAAAAACTATTATTACTTTTTTCAGTGTTTGAAAGATTTCAACGTTAAGAAATTACTTTCTATGTAAATTATTTTATTTCGAAATGACTGAAAATGATTTATTAAAAAAAATTTCGTTATTTATTTTTCACATACTACATTGGGTCATCTTACCATTCGTATTCTTATTGAACTCATACGTCCCTCTAACAAATTTGAAATATGAGAGAAAAATATAAATATAAATTTGGGTTGGTCGATGAATAAATTTGGGCCGAAAACATATTTTGTTACAGAGAGAGTAGAGAGAGAAGGTAATGAGAAGGAGAGGGAGGAATAATTTAGTGTAAGGAAAGAGAAAGTAACGAGGATAGAGAGAGGGATGATTTAGGAGGTACTAGTTAGTAAGGAACATTGAAAAAAAAGAGTTAACTATGCACAAACGCTGATCTAAAAAGAATTTTACGACAGTTGCCAAATACCAAAAAATAAAAAAATTATTTTACACAAAAATATTTTATAAAAAAAAATATTTTACCGGAGTCTTAATTCTCATATGTCAAGAGACAACAAATATAAGTTCATTTTGTATTTCACATTGAATATTTTTTTTTGGGTAAATAATTTCACATTGAATAATCAATGCAAGCCACATGATAAAATCCCCTCATGCATGCCCCTTGGGTTATGCCTCCTATTCATACTTTCCGCATTATTTGATGATAATTTCTTCAGTCCACTCCTATTATTATGTTATTTTGTTTAGTCGGTATAAATCAACTCAGTTAAAATAATATATACATGCTATCATCTTATTTTGAGCAGTGATATATGCACCAATGCAAAAGTAAAAGAAATATATATGTATACACACACACACACACAAACATACAGGCAATGACATAGCATAGGATCATGCTCTCATTGGATTTTTTTATATTTTATACTGTAAATTTTAAATATTTATAAAAAAAATTTCATTAAAATTATAAAAGTAGACCCACTACATAAATTTGTCTCACAAATTAAAAAGCCGTCCCTTCTCACAATTTTTTTTGAGTCTGTCACTGTGTATATATATGCACCAATGTAGCATGTAAATATTATTTGCACCAATTCCTTGCAAAAATAATCAAAGATGACAAATGTGGCACTGCACTTTTATTTAACATGCGAAAACCAAGTATCTTTTAACGTGAAATGATATAATTGTAATTTAATTAAGGAAATTCAGTTTTATTTAGTTTAAGAAAAATAAAAAGTAAAAATAAAGTATATTTATAAAAAATATGGACCAATTAATTTAGGAGGGTACATGTAACAATTCAGTGCAAATATTTGATTCAAGAATTATTTTCCTTTATAAAAATATAAAATTCATTCATAATTCTCTCTCAAAAAAATTAATTTTTGTTATTTTTAAGCGTTAATCAAATTTATTTATTTATTTTTGATCATCACAAAAATCTACTGTAGATTTAAAGAATATGATTGCATGTCGGGGGGTAAATATTCAGATGCATCCTAGACCATTTAGTTCTTGTTGAATTATTATTGAGAGAATAAGGGTAAAATTGAGATTTGGGAGCTTATTTAACACGTGTCATGTTGGCACTCAATGACGAACATAGATTTGCTCAAGATTCCCATCAGTGTGTGATGTTGGATGCACCCGATCAAGGTCTCATAGTAAATGTATAAGCAGAATTACAGAGGATGGTGGATTCTGAGTCCTCTGACAAAATATAGTCAAAAATACGAAAATTTTAATGTAAAATGTTGTTAAATTTTGTGTTAGTGGTTTCCTGAAAGCTTTCACCTGAAAGAGAGAATCGATACATCTTTGCTACTATCTCTCTCTACACTCTCTCTCTAGAGGTATTTCTCATTTCTAACTGTAAGATCTGATTTTATGGTTTTGTTGATTAAATCTCTGATCTTTATGTAGAAAAATATTTGGGTCTCCTTCAGCGCGTTATACTTTTCTGGGTGTTTTATTTTTTTGGTGTATGAAATCTATGCCTCAATATTTCATATTTTCTGTTTCTATACACATACTCATCTCTAAATCTGTATTGGGTGCTCTGATATTGTTTTGTTGTATGTGTATTTGTTTTTTTACTCTCCATTTCTTACTGTTAATGGGCTTCTAGGGTTTTTATTAGAAATTCTTTTCAGCTCATGCAAATTAGTTTAGATTCATAACCATTTCGCGTTTGTAGATTATATCTCTACTTGCATGTTTCAGGAAGCGATTTATAATGGAAATTTGGTCGAAAATTGGAGTCTTTGAGGGCTTTTTGAAGATCTCGTGCGTGTTCTGGTGAAAGCTTGTGTTGTTAAACGGTTTATTTCTTTCATTCTGTTATTAAATGTTGTTGTAGTTACTGTTTTAATCAGATTCGTGAACTATACAGCTATTGTTGAGAAGAGTGGTATTGGAAGAAGAAAATCATAGTATGATGTGAATAAGTTGGTACTTGTGGGATTTTTGTTGTGTTAGGAGAAAAACAAAACAAAAAAAAGTAAAAGAGAAGTTGGGATTGTGTTCTTGAAAGTGTGAGTAATGGAGCAAGGTTTGGATTCAGAGTCTGTTCCTACATCTGGGTCTTTCGATAAGTCTAGGGTTTTGAATGTTAAGCCATTGCGATGTCTTGTTCCGATTTTCCCATCTTCATCTGGTGCACCTGCATTTTCATCTTCCCAAGCTGCCCCCTTTGTTTGTGTCCCCCCAACTGGTCCTTTCCCACCTGGGGTCGCTCCCTTTTACCCTTTTTTTGTTCCAAACGACTCTCAGAGGCCAGCTGAACAGGGCCCTCAAAATCCATTTGTTACCAATCATGCAGGTTCTTTTGGCTTTAACAACCCGGTTCAGTCACCTGTTCCCCTGAATTCGTTTAGGACACCAACTCAGCAAGCCGGGGCAGCAAATGGAGACAGGGGGACATCGAGAAGGAGTCGTATGGCAGGTACAAATGTGGCCGAAGATGGTAATAGTGACTCTCAGGATCAGAGTGACCAATATCTGAGTGGCTTCAGTATGCATGTTACTGATGCAGAAGATACCAGTGTGGCGGGGGCTCGGAAGGGTAAGTCCCGGGGGAGGACCCGAAGTGCCCAACAGGTTAAGTCACCCGTTTATGATGTTGACATTGACACAGTAGTTAATAATTTCCTGGCATCATTCAATCTTATGGCATTTGATATGCTGAAACAAGCTGAAGATGACTGTGGGTTGGTTGGATACGTTCTCATGATATTTGATTTGCTTCGAAGAAGGATTTCCCAAATTGAAGATGCGAAGGAGGCAACTCCAGGTGCTACAAGACGCCCGGACTTGAGGGCCGGTGCAATCTTTATGAAAAAAGGGATTCGGACTAATGCGAACAAGAGGATTGGAGCTGTACCTGGGGTTGAAGTTGGAGATATTTTCTTTTTCAGGATGGAACTGTGCTTGGTGGGATTGCATGCTCCGAGTATGGCTGGGATAGATTACATGAGTGTCAGGATTACTGGAGACGAAGAGCCCATAGCTGTCAGCATTGTTTCGTCTGTGGGATATGAGGACGATGGGGACGATGGGGATGTGTTGATTTACAGTGGCCAGGGTGGAATTTTCCGGAAGAATGAACAAATAATTGATCAGAAACTTGAAAGGGGTAATCTTGCTTTGGAGAAGAGCTTGCATCGAGGTAATGAGGTAAGAGTCATTAGGGGTATGAAGGATGTGGCAAATCCAACTGGGAAGGTATATGTTTATGATGGCCTTTACAAAATCCAAGAGTCATGGGTGGAGAAAGGAAAGACAGGTTGCAATGTTTTCAAGTACAAATTGGGTAGATTACCTGGCCAGCCTGCAGTGTTTACATTGTGGAAATCAATTCAGCAGTGGAAGGACGGTCTTACTTCAAGGACGGGGGTTATCCTTCCAGACCTTACTTCGGGTGCAGAAATTCAAGCTGTTTCTCTTGTAAATGATATTGATGATGAGAAGGGTCCTGCTTATTTCACATATTTTCCCAATCTCAGGTATTTGAAACCGTTTGATTTACCCAAACCTTCTTTGAGCTGCACGTGCAATGGAGGATGTCACGCTGGTAATCCCAACTGCCCTTGCGTTCAAAGAAATGGAGGGTATCTTCCTTACACTGCACTTGGGGTCCTTTTGGGTTACCTATCCTTGGTACATGAGTGTGGTTCTTCTTGTTCATGCCCACCTAATTGCCGGAATCGAGTGACCCAGGCAGGTTTAAAAGTCCGTTTAGAAGTTTTCAAAACAAAGGATAAAGGTTGGGGTCTAAGGTCTTGGGATCCTATTCGTGCAGGATCTTTTATTTGTGAATATGCAGGAGAAGTCATTGATATATCTAAGGCAGAGGAACTTGGAAGCGAAAATGAAGATATATATATTTTTGATACTACTCGGACCTATCAGCCCCTGGGAGGTATGCCTGGTGATATTAACGGGTCTCCAAAAACCCCATTTCCCCTTGTTATAAGTGCGAAGAATGGTGGGAATGTAGCTCGTTTTATGAACCATAGTTGCTCTCCAAATGTGTTCTGGCAGCCAGTTTTACGTGAAAGTAATAATGAATGTTATCTCCATATTGCATTTTTTGCAATCAGACACATTCCTCCAATGCAAGAGCTGACATATGACAATGGGATAGTTCAGAATGACAAAGCAGACCAAATGAGGAAAAAATGCCTGTGTGGATCGTTGAAGTGCAGAGGTTATTTTTACTAATTGCTAACTGACACCTTGGGAAAGGGTAGGTATTTCCTGTTTCTTGCATATTATGAGGTCGATCTTCTGTATTTATCTTGTTTTTCCTGTTAAATGATTTAGATGGTCATAATTTTTATGGAACCGTGCAAGGTATAACAAGTGTTCATGATAAGATAGGTGTATATTATACCACCACTTAAAAAGTTGAGTTGTTGGAGAATGTGCCCAACAATATATGATGCTCTCAAACCCTTCTCCATGTATGACTCCCTTTTGCATGTGGGATAGGCAGACAAATAAACAAAACATGCAAAATAGACTGACAGAAATGGTAAACAAATGCAACCAGAGACTTGAATCCAAGACTGTTATCCAGAACCAAAGCCCATTTTAGACAATCACTTGTCTAAAAGTTCGAACTGTTGAGGGTCTGCCACCAACAATATGTATCGAATTCTCATAATGAGCGTGTTTACAAATTCCTCTAAGTATTGGAAATGGTGGTATTGGTTTCTCTTATTCTTGGATGCGTATTGTTGCCCACCATCTACTCTAAAAGCTTAAGTTGTTAGAGAAGGAGTAACTTTAATATTTAAATCCTCTCACACTCGCGTAATAGTGCTTTCAGGTCTTCAGTTACATAACTTAAATATGGTGTACTAGTTCGTTTTGTGTGGTTATATTTTTTCCTTTTATTTTAATATGATAGACTTTTAGGGGTTTGCATTGGTCTTCTCCATCTTGAAACTTATATTAAGTTTTACTTCTTGGTAAAACATTGGCATTTTAGACTGACATATTACACAAGATTCTCGGAATACGTTTATCTTGTGGTATATGAGTGTATGCAAAAAAAAAAGAAGCATGCTTTTGTCATGCCTCAACATTAGTGATACAATATATTGTACTTGGGAAAAGGGATAAAAATAAAGCAGTTACTTAAAGATGGAATCTTCATTTGATGCTAAGAATTTTGTTTATCATAATCTAAATAGAAAATGAAGAGGCTCTATTTGATTTTTTTTTTGGTTAAGACGTCAAAATTGATTTCTTTTTTTTTTTTTCTATTTTATTTTTATTTTATTTATAAAAAGCTTGAGCTTCTATCATTTAATTTGACGGTCTAAAAAATTTACTGCGTTCTGGTTTTATTTTTGCATAAAAAAGGACAGTGATGGGGACATTCCATAAATTTGGTTATGATGCTGTTTTGTGTTAGTATGTTACCTTAACATATAATTATGTTACCAATGCGTGTTGGATTGTTGGTATTACTCTATAAGTCATGTTAATTGGGACATTGTATAAATTTAGTTATGATGCTGTTTTGTGTTTGCGTGTTACCTTATCTTAACATATAAGTATGTTACCAATGCATGTTGGATTGTTGGTATTACTCTACAAGTCATGTTTAATTGTTCTATATCATTACCTTCTCCTTTTCTACTTCCCTCTCAGGTTCTGCACAAGTGGTCATGAACAAGTAATTGTGATATATATGTCAAAAGCAGATTATGATATTTCATTTGTTTGTGTCCTGAAAATGTGTGAATCATTTCCGTTTGAACAAGCACAGAAATACATGTGCATGTGCGCCCAGGCAGATCCTGGAATGATAATCATGTACATCTAATTGTAATTTGTATAACCATGTTGTCAAATCACTCAATTTATTTATTCATTGTTGCCTCCTAATACTCAAGTCTACCTTTGAAGGGAAACATTCAAATAGATTGGGTAGACTTGAGAACATTGGGGCCCTATATTTTAGGACCGCTGAATGTTTTTTGTTTCCATCTTGCTCCAAACTCATCGTATTTACATTCTTTTGGCAACATATGCAAAACATAATATTAAAACATTTATCTTAATTTTGTTACATCGGTTTGGCGAGTTATATAATTTATTTATCACATGAAAAATGTCAATGAAGTTATTTATTAATTAGTAAATATGTATTCACTACCTTGGTGGTGTTTTGTCATAAGATGATTACATTGTTTTTAATTTTGAGGCAAATAGTTCAGCTTGTGCAATGCCGCTCACATTGGCTGTGTTTGGCGTTTTCTTTCTTCAGTTGATGGTAAGAAAAAGCTGGTGAAATGTGTGCCTCCTGTTCGTAGTCCGTTGCTTCAAACCGTAGTATTCAGCATTAAAGGAATGCAAGAAATCAGATTTCTCTGCTTATGACTGGCCGTTGCATATGGGTTCGCAGAAACTTGGTTTTGTGTATGTATGTGTATTTGTGTTTTCAGCCAGTCAATGTACTAATATTCTAAAGTTATAATATGAAACTTGATGCGGCAGGCTCTTATTCTGTTTCGTGAAGCTTCTAAGTAGTTGGTCGATCCATTGGTTAGATGATAGTTTGATTTATTATCGTATCGATTATATTGAGCTATTATCAAGGCCATTATTATGGTTTGTCATTTCTGTAGCAGTTCCTTTATAAACGACACAACTATATGACAGTTTTGGGGCAGAAATAGCAATCGGTTGTATTGCTAATAAATATGTGGTACCATGTTGTATATTTGTTTTTAATAGGGACTGGGAGGGCTACTAGATTAGAGCCCATCCAAGAGCATGGTACAATTTTTTCTGTAACTTGACGATGAAGTATTATATGATTTGGGATATATATGAATTATCCAGTTCTCTTAGATATATGTAATCATAAATGCTTTAATTTAAATTTATTATAATAATTATCTCTAAATTTTGTTCGAAAAATTCTCATAATCAATGTGGCCCATTGCAATTTTTACTTTTACTGTTAAATTTTATCATCTTTTTCCTCATCTGTTACTAGGAAATTGAATACTATAGTTTTGGGCTGTAAACACGCGGTATTACCATCAACAATTTTGTTCTGAATTTTCACGGCAATTTAGGTCGACTTGGTTTGTCATTGGGAAAAAAAAGAAATGGCTATTCTAGAGAATAGACAATTCTCTAAAAACAAGAAGTTTTTTTAAAAGAAATTCTCAGAAATTGTTAATTAAGCAGGTTTTTGTACAATGTTCTAATTTTCAATTCTTTTCTTCTTAGAAAATTAAACCAAATAAGCCCATAACATTATTTACACTTGGGGGTATAAATTGGAATTGTCATTGTTAATGAAAGGAATACGATATGATCATTGGTAAGTTCAAGGCACCAAACACCACTTGTCTAGCTTAGTTGTAGAAAGATGGAAAGTTTTGTGGTTCAAGCATTTGTAGAAATATGGGTTTAGGAGGGTTAATGAGTAGGGTATGGTGACCCTTCCATAGCCTCTCACCAAAGAAGTCAAATTCAACTTGCATCAATGTTTTTCATGGAGGCTTTGCCATCACAAGGGCGGTCTCACTAATAGCACTTTGTCATGTAAGAGCTCCAAATCCAATACTAATTCCAATTTTCACATAACGAAGATCCATTTTGTTTAAATTAAGCCCGCTGCTGCTGCTGGGAGTGATTCAAAATCACACGTGTAAGTGATGGAATTCGTCTTAACAATTTCAACTAAAAATCAAAGGCACCCATGGACATGGGTGAAAGGTAAATCAAAAGATTGTTGCTCTTGCGTAAATACCTCATTTTTGAATGACACCCTCCCGCAAATTGCAAGTCTTGTATGTTCCCCGCGAAAAAGCCGCGTAAAATTGAGATGACCTCTCAGGCAACCGTTGCTAGTCCAAGGGGAAGGGGGAGTTGTTTTTCTATAGAGAGAGAAAGTGATGGGAAAACGGCTTTTTTTGGATGGTTGGATGTTAGAGAGAGAAAGCGAGACAGAGGAAGAGAGAGAAAGTGTTTGAGAGAGAGAGAGCAAAAAAAAAAAAAAGAAAAAAAAGAAAGAAAGAAAAGGAAAATAGAGAGAGAAAGTGAAAAAGAGAGGTAAAGGGGACAAAATATCTTTTGGGTTGAATTGTGAGATAATGAAGAACAGGGGCAGCTGGTTTTGATCCAAAAAGAGAAGGGAGAGCTTCCTCTCCCTCGTTAGAGCGCCCCTACCTGCCCCCTTTCAATTACATCATTTATGGGTATTGTTTTGCACCTGAAATAATACATAAAAATACACATGATGAGCGACATCAATAATCAAAATTGTGGTGCTTCTCCCTCCAAAGAGATGCCCAACCCAAATTCCAAGAGGCTCTATCAAGTTTGGAAGGGCCGCAATGTAAGCCTCTCTCTCCTCTTTAATTGCTTCTAATTTCATTGGATTTTTTTTTATTTTTTTTTATTTTTTTCTTGTTTGGTTTTGAAAAGAAAATGTTGATTGTTTGCAAGGCCAATTTAGTTTCATTTTATGCATCCATATTGTTTTTTGTGATAAAATATTACTATGATGCCTATTTCATTAATTATTTTTTCTTCTTCTTGTTTTTTTTTTTTTTTTTTGTTAAAAAAAAATAAATCATTTCATTTCTGATGTACATTTATTCTTCAATTTAACAAATTACATTACGTCTGGTTGTCATTAATTGATTTGTTTGATGATGGTTGGAGGGAGGGCACCTCAGGAAATGAGGTCAATCATCTTCCTTATTAAAATGTACTAATAATCTTCATGTGTAATTGGATGTCAAGAGTATCTAAACATTTAGTTGCATTTCTCAGAAATAATATATATTCGGTGATTAATTACGTTTTCAACATTTAAACTATTACCAATTCCCTTGTAAAGTGTTGAGTATCTAGCATTATGATTCAAGTATCATTATGGTGCTACAGAGGTTGAGCAGAGAATTTAGGACTGTTAGAAGTATATTTTACGCCATTAAAAGTAGCATTGCTGAAGATTGACTGTTAGAAACATTTTTGGTTAGGTATTGCTGTGGGAATATTGCTATGTATTTATGTCTATGAAATTTTTGTATCCCACCATGTGAGAGAGAACTTTATGCAAATCAATATTTGGATATACCACTAACCATATTTTCTTTTCACTTATGCTACGTTTGGCCAAAATTTAGTACAAAAATTGAACCAAACTTCTTCCAATCCCAAATCCAAGGCACCGATTCGGTGATTCCAAACACAATTATTTTCTTGTTGGCCAAAATATATTTGTGGTTGGTTTTGGCCTTTAAGTTTGTAGTGCCAAACCAGCTAGTTTGCAATGTGAATGGTTGAAGCATCAGTGGGAGTGATGTATGCTACAATGTACTTGCCATTGCAGCAAGAACCATCAGTATAATGTAGCTGATGTGGAAGCATGGTGCAATATTTGGGACTGCCAAAATAGAAAAATTGACCTTATTAGAAAAAGTACTTCTATTTTCCATCTCCTTATTTCTTCGTTATTTTTTTAATTTTTTTTCATCATGTTTGTTTATGATTTTTTGTTGTTGAAGTGCTTGCAGTCTATATATCAATGCATGTGCATTCTTTTTACCCAAGAGATTGAATGTGTATTGATAGAATCAAGGAAGGTTGATTTGAGTTCAAGATTTACATACTTTTTCGCCAGATACAGATATGCATTTTGGAAACTATTTAGATGTACGAGGAATGAAGTTTCTTATTTGATAAAAAAAAAAACTGTCAATTTCCTGTGTTGGTTAACTCTTCTTTCCCCTTTTATTTCATTTTAGAAAATTATTGGTTAGTCAGAAATCATATATAATGTTTCTGTTACAACAAGAAACAAATAAGTGTACTCTGGACACTTGTTTGGTATATTTTTCTTCTTAGTAATTCTTTTCAAAAAAAATTTAAAACTGCAATGAACTATTTATGGATTTTCCTGTTTAATCAGGAGCTGAACTGATCGATATACTTATGATAATTACTGGTTCGTACACTTTCATATACAAAAGAAGCCCAGATTAGGAGAATATATGTGCTTCTTTATAGTTGAATCAGTGTGAACAGCCTTTTTATATTATGGTTTATGTCATGCAATATTGAGCAGTGTTATAAAGTTGTTGAAGAAATGCACAGAGGTTATAAAGTGACATAGAAGGTGCAACTTACTAGTGAATGAAATTCTTTTGAATTGGCTGAGAAAAAATTGCAACGTGCATAGCTTTATACTGACTGGCACACTGATGAAGTGCTTTTTTTGCTATATCAGAAATTTTTGTTTGGCGGGAGATTGATCTTTGGTCCTGATGCTACATCATTAATATTAACTACACTCCTAATAGGGGGCCCAGCCTTTACATTTTGCATAAAACTGCTTTTGAGAATCGGAGAAACTGATCCTTTAAGTGGGTACGGTATACCGATTATCGGATTTATCCTCACATTTTTGGTAAGTAATATGAAGTTATTCTCAGTAGAGTTAGATCTACATAATGATTGTAGAATTTGAAGTGGTGATGAATGATGCAGGATTTGACTTTTCTCTTCATGACATCTGGAAGAAATCCTGGAATAGTACCAAGAAACTCGAAGCCACCTGAAACAGATGAAGCATTTGAGTTCACCACATCAATGGAATGGGTCAATGGTACAACCCTTAATTTGAAATTACCCCGGACAAAAGATGTGTTTGTCAATGGCCACACGATTAGAGTGAAATACTGTGATACTTGTTTGCTTTATCGTCCGCCACGTTCTTCTCATTGCTCAATTTGCAACAACTGTGTACAGAGGTTTGATCACCACTGTCCATGGGTGAATCAGTGTATTGGAATGGTAAGTTTCTTGTCTGAAACTGCATCCTCTAAGATTAATTGTTAATTGAGCGTATATGTAACATGAAAGTTAAATCAGTCCATTGTATTTTTTATTTTTATTTTTTATTTTTATTTTTTATTTTATAGAATTTGATGACTTTGTTGTATTTTCTATAGCATTCAAAATTTGCATTTCCCTGCACTTTTTTCTTCTAGACATGGCCATTTTAGACACTAGATGAGATCGTTTATATTTCATTGTGGTAATGTCTTGATAGTCCACTACTAAATTTTTATTTTGTAAGATAAAAAAACATAAACACCATACACCAACTTTTGGCTTAATGTCGGTGTAAATGTTTCGGTGATTTAAAGTTCCAATAGACATCAAATATCACATTCTAAAATTATGTTGAGCTCGCATAGCATGTTTGAGCTAGTTCTTGATTTTTGTATCAGAGGACAACGTGCAGTGCAGACATATTGCAACTGTGCTCTCTTAATTTTGAGGAAAATCCAAATCATAAAAAACTTTCTTATTATGTTTATCTACCCAGTTCTAGCACTTATAAGCTGATAATTTGCAAGTATGTCTTGACAATCTTATCTTAAAAATTCAAATATTGAGAACAATTCATTTTTGTTATTTAATCATTTGCACAACTATAAAATGAAATGTATAATTATCTTCAACACGGAAATGCATTGGGCTCTCAAAATTAGTCCTGCCCTGATCTAATTCTTTGTTCATAAAAATTATTTTCTTAAGCACCCTTTAAGAGAAGGTTCAGTACTTAACAAGTGTAGATCTGTTACATGGTTTTGGAAAACTAAATTGTTTTCAGAGCACAAGGAATTGATTCTGTTGTAAATTGATCCAATTATGCTCCATCTTAAAGAAATTTGAACAACTAAAATATACTAAAAAATCCCATTTCTTCTGCATAAAGAGAGAAAATTTTCTTTATATATATATATACACATTTTTTTTTTGGTGAACAAACTAACAATTCTTTCCATGTTGTTTGGTTGCAGCGTAATTATCGGTGGTTCATCTTGTTCATATCATCATCAACCGTATTGTGCTTATATGTCTTCATGTTTTCATTGATGAATATCCTTGAACAGCCAGGCAACATATGGCATATCATGTCAAAGGATATTTTATCAGTTGTTCTGATAGTATATTGCTTTATAGTTGTCTGGTTTGTTGGTGGACTCACTGTTTTTCATGTTTATCTGATCTCCACCAACCAGGTGATCTCCTTACTCCTCAAAAGGTTATTCATGTTGTTTACAATAAAGTGTGTGAGAGAGAGAGAGATTCATTCTCTCAGATTTAAAATTTACTACATTATGCCCAGTTTTAAAATTTACTACAATATACCTCACATGTTTCAAATTCATTTGAGAGTTAACATCCAAATAACCACAATGTACATGATATCTTATTACACTATGTAACATGTCTATTGATATTATTCGTATTGATGTTTTGTTCTTCCTGAAAAGGTGACATTTCTGTTCTTATGTTTGCACAGACAACTTATGAAAACTTCCGATATCGCTATGATAAGAAGGAAAACCCATTTAACAAGGGGATAATAAGGAACCTTAAAGAAATTTTTTTCTCTAAGATCCCACCTTCAGGTATCAATTTCCGAGAATGGGTGTACGAGGATGATGATGCAATTGCAGGATCCATTTCTCACAACTTTGGAAGAGGTGTTAGCTCGAAAGGGAAAGCTGATATAGAAATGGGAGGCATGCTTAGCAAGGATGGTGGCATTCCGCTTCCAAATATTTTAAAGAATTTGGATTATGGTGGGATTGATGATACCTTAAAGAAGGGAGGAGGTGAAGATTTTACATTTGATTCATCTCTCATTCCCCCAGAACAAGAACTGGGAGATGAATTGTGGAGCTCCGCTAATGAAGATAACGGTATTGCAGATGAGAGGACGGAGAATGATAGAACTCCCACTGAACATTAGTGATTCATCAGGGTTTAGGTAATTATTTTCCTCCTTTTTGCAATAAATTTATACATGTTTTATTTAATTTCATGTTAAATATAACCCATTGGCTAAAGAATAATGTACTATGGTAAAACACAATTTACATATAGTTGTTGTGATATGTGAAACTTGTGAATTTAGTCCGTAACCGCTAAAAATAGCTAACAATAAACTGTAAATTTCAAATTATATATTGTTCTTTAATCAACTGATAAATACTTTTAGGGGGTCATTTTGATACATTCCTATCCTCAAAATTGTAGTCACAGTGAATTTTAGAGTCAAATGCTGCAGCTAATATCCTCTTTGACGTGTTTTATTTTTTATAAATTAATTATAAGTGTGAACTGCTAAGTGAGAGATGGAAGATTTGAGCATGAGTGAATCCCCTTTTGCATGCCAAAGTTTAGATATACATCAACTCCACCCTCCCAGCACCCAACATTGGCATTAATAGCGAGACACTTTTTTTTCTCAAAAAGTTGGACAAGAAAATGGAACCAGTAGAGAGAATTTTATTTATTTATTTATTTTCATAAATCAATGAGAATATCGTGTATTGACACTGAATAGTCATGTTGACACTGAATGGTCTTGCTTTATTCAGTGAGACTTCAAAGAAAAAATCCCTTTGGCTTCGGACCTTGACTAAGAATTCTCTTTTAGAAAATATTGGAAGAATTATGTCTACTGAACTTTTTGCATGATTGTAATTAGATACACAGTACTACTCCAGTTTTCAATGATAACCTTCAATTCTACATATTCATACCTTGTAGATGACATGATACTCTTTTTCTGGCCTTCAATTCTACATATTCATACCTTGTAGATGACATGATACTCTTTTTCTGGTCTAACTTATAAAACCATAATCAAGTAATATTGACTGGATGGTAAAAAGTAAAAACCAATAATGACCTGATTGCCTATTTAAAATTGTTCCTTGTCACATGGTAAAGCTCCACAATGAAAGGTCTGTTTGGTCATTGAAGATTGTTGCCGATATCTATTTGTCCATTAATCCTCACATAGGGAAACACTAAAATGTTAGACCCTCAAGTACTACAACTGAAGCAAAAAGTTGAAAATCTTGAAGAGTATTTTGAATGGCATGGTATTTGATGTGGAGGTGAAATAGTTCTAGAGAACTTAATTGTATTGTGATGGTTCATAAAAAATCCTATAATTTTCTGTCACACAGAGAAGTATGTACTATGCTGCTTTTCAATAAGCAAGCTGGCTATGCACATTTCACTTGGCTCGTACTCTATTCATAAGGGTGTTATGGCACAAGCCCCTAAAATACTATGCACATATCCGACAACTTTCATACGTTCCTCTCCTATCATTTCATTTCTGGTTAAAGCAAACTGAAATTTGTGTTGAATGAAACTCTCAACAATATATTTATAATTGAATATGATCCAAAGGATTTTTGACATATCCCCATTCTTCAGAATAATTAGGAATCCTATCTTTTTTGTTTACCAGAAAAATCCGAACTAAAGAATTTGTGACCTCCAGAGATTTCTCATTCCATTCCAGTGGCTTGACCAGTAAACCAATGGCGAAAATTAAAATACCTGTATACATCACTGATAAGCAGTGTTACAAGGCTCATTGAATGAACTTCATAAATGGAGATAGCACCATTTGAATAAATTATCACACTAACTGAACCAGATGGCCTGTGATGAATATTTAGTAATAATAAATATTCTAAATCGGAAAATGGATTATATAATTAAACTAAGTTCACGAATGTAATTAGCTATCTGATTCTTTACATGTAGTTGGTAGTTTCTGAAGAATCAAGTGGGTTCGACTTGACTACCATGTCAATTTTGTTTTAATGCACCAGTTTTGCTATCGATCTTTCTGATTATTTACCTTTTATGGCCTTACCATACCTTATGATGCTGACTGGCAATTTTTTAAACAGTATATTTTACAGCTATGGCAATTTTTGAAGCCTTGACAAGTGCAGATGTTAATATGGAGATGACCAAGGCAGAAATGAAGCTTCATTGTTGTAGTGAGAAGGAAGAACAAAAGAAAAGGAAAGAGAGAAAAGAAAAGAGAAGGAAGAGCATATAAAAGTTTTTCTTGGTGCTTTTTGATGCACAATAATGGACCTGCAACAAAATGAAGTTTCCATCTTGTAAAATACTCAAAGCTTGTGCTGTTTAATTGTTTATCATTGTCTCCTTTTTCTTTTTCTTCTTTTCTCTTTCCAAATTTTAAATTTAGCTTCTTGTGATTGTGGGTGTGGAGCTGGAGGATTTGGATTTGTAGATTGTGTAAAGTTCTTACCTGTTGAATAGACTTGGAAGCCCTTTTTTTCTTTTTCTTTTTTAAATTGCATATATGATGTATGCAATTCTGAAAACAGAATTAGTGATTGTTTATTTGCCACTCTATATTTAGGAACCCATTGCATAATTCCTTATGAAATTGAAGATTTGAACTGGTTCTGCTAAACATGGGATCCCACCAAGTATTTGGAGTGATGTACCAAGAGAAGTTCTTATAGCTCTAAAATGATGATATCTCTTTTATAGGATATGAAGACAACAATAACAACCCACATAAAAGTTCTTTGGCAATAGAACATGCATTTTAAGAGCAAGGTTGAGGTCAATTAAAATCTCAGCTGAAAGTTCTAAAATTATTAGAAATAACATCTGTTTTTTTCTTTTCTTTTTTTAACTCCCAAATCTCCTAAATTTAATTCACATTTTTGTCAAGAAAAATTCAGAATTATACATTTTTCATTTTTGTTTTGGATTTTGTAGCTTGGGATGCAATCCAAATCTTTTTTTATTATTTTAATTTTTAATTTAATTTAATTTAATTTTGTTGCTTCCCTTCCCCCTCTTATTAAAAAAAATCATTGGTAACTAAATTAGGGACCCCAGGAGCATGGCAAGGGCAACCGAAATAACAAAAAAAATCTTGCCCAACTTGTAAATTTTGATTCTTACTATCGATTACCGTTGCGGTATTGATTACGGTCACGATATAATTGTTAAAATCAGTGTAAACGGATCGGTACAAATCACCTATCAGATTTAAAAAAAAGTCACACGTATGGACTAATAGGTCGCGTACTGTAATGAGAGTCCACTGTCAGTCTGTCAAACAAAGCAAGGCCACAATTCCCTACTGCCCAAGTGGTATTATCACAACCAATCATGTAATCAAATATCCCATCACAACCTGCCACATGTCAGCTTCCCATTACAAGTCGTAGATTTCATTGGATCAGATTAGATTCAATCACTTTCAACCAATTAAATTACACACACGCACTCATCTTATCCTTCACAGAAACACTCATATGTGTTAAGTATTGCTGCTGCCCCTATTCCACAGCCAACCAAGTTCAAGTTCCTGCTAAACTTTGCTCCAAAAAATGGCTGCAGAGATGGCCTTAGTAAAACCCATCTCCAAATTAAGCCCTAAATTCAGCAACCCACCAAGATTATTGTCATCACATGTCAAGTTCTCCACCATCACCGCCATGTCATCCACCACTTCACAGCCCACCACCACCACAAGAAAGCCATTAAAGAAATTGGGGAAGCAAGCTATTAAGGAGAGCCTGCTGACGCCAAGGTTCTACACTACTGACTTTGATGAGATGGAGATGCTATTCAACACTGAGATCAACAAAAACCTGAACCAGGCTGAGTTTGAGGCTCTGTTGCAGGAATTCAAGACGGATTACAACCAGACCCATTTTGTCAGGAACAAGGAGTTCAAGGAGGCTGCTGATAAACTCCAAGGCCCTATTCGCCAAATCTTCGTCGAGTTCTTGGAGAGGTCTTGCACTGCTGAGTTCTCTGGATTCCTTCTCTACAAAGAGCTTGGAAGGAGGCTTAAGGTATTTATATATATATATGCATGCATTTCTTATGATTTCTTGAATTTTTAATGCAATCTAGTTCTCAAATTTGATGAATTTATGATAGAATAATGGTAATTAGTTCGCCTATTCGCATAATTAAAAATGTGTGTGTGTGTATATATATATCCGTATATGTGTGTTTGATGAGTCTCCTTGAAGTTCCCTGCATTTCTGAGTATTATAACTGAAATTGGCAATCTAAATCTTGCAAAAATCAATGAACTACTTCTAGCATTTTCAGTTCTTTTGGTGTAGTTAAATGTAAATCTGTCCAAAATTCTGAATTTTTATGTGTAGTTGAAGTCATGTTGTGTCTGAATTTCACTCAATTTCTGGAATAATTCTGTCAAGGTTATGTCAATTAATTGTTAGGACTTCCAAAATTTCTGAAACTTCCCAAAAATTCTACAGTAATTGACAAATTAAGAGGAATAAGTAAGACTTGCCGTTATTTTTTGTCCACATTGATCCTCAATTCTATGAAGTTCAATTTTGCAGAAATTAATTCTGAATTGCATTTGCCTTGGATTGAGTTGACTGGAGTTTCTGGTGGTTTTTGATTGGTTTCTGATTTATATTCGGTGGTGGCATAGTTTTTTATTGGTTATGCTAGGATTCATCTGATAAGAAACAGTTAATTACATGTTGTATTTTTTTTTTTGTTGATAAGTAAGTTAATTACATGTTGTATTGATCTCCTAATTTCTGTTATACCAACTGACCTGAAATTGATCATGCAGAAAACCAACCGAGTGGTGGCTGAGATATTCTCTCTTATGTCAAGAGATGAAGCTAGACATGCTGGGTGTGCACACACATTCTCATCTCTTTCTAATTATATAGATATAAATATATATGGTATTCATAGCTTCTAACACAAATTGGGTTACTGTTCAATTGAAATTTGCAGGTTTTTGAACAAGGGATTATCTGATTTCAATTTGGCACTGGACTTGGGGTTCCTGACAAAGGCCAGAAAGTACACTTTTTTCAAGCCAAAGTTCATCTTCTACGCAACATATTTATCTGAAAAAATTGGATACTGGAGATACATAACCATATATCGACATCTCAAGGCCAATCCGGAGTACCAACTTTATCCCATTTTCAAATACTTTGAGAACTGGTGCCAGGATGAGAACCGCCATGGTGATTTCTTCTCTGCATTGATGAAGGCACAGCCCCAGTTCCTCAATGACTGGAAGGCTAAGTTGTGGTCTCGCTTCTTCTGCCTATCGGTAATTTTTCACCCTCAACTATATGATAGATACTCTGTATGATGATCTTTTTTTGTTTATGAGGATTCAATTATTCAAACAAAATCGAGGCTTAAATTCTATCAAGTTTCACATGCTCTTATGTCAAGTTTAATTGCAGATTTTAGATTCCAAATTTATTGTTTATCACCCCCATTTTCTCAGCAATCAACCACACTATGATGAATGGCTATTTGAACAAAACAATAATTTTAATTGTCCAGGAAATACATTCTTCTCTTATGACTTTGTTAATAAATGCAGGTTTACGTGACAATGTACCTCAATGATTGTCAACGCACAGCTTTCTATGAAGGCATTGGGCTCAACACGAAAGAATTTGACATGCATGTCATCATCGAGGTGAGCCTTCCCCTCTAGTTTTTGTTTCAGCATTGTTATATCAGCATGAATACGTGTGATACATTGCTTTTCTCTCTATACATACACTTCGAGGATATGTAATGTGGCTGTTACAGTTGCTTCATGTCTTTGAATGTGTCATATTTTACATGCGACCTTTCTTACTTTGAAATTACTATGATGATGAGTGTGCAAGAGAATTGAATTTTAAAGCTACCACTCTATCTGCATATAGTTATAAGATCACAAGTTTTTGTTTATCTCGTCCACTTCGCTAATCAAACAACCAAATGCAGCTTAAAAAGAAAAGTATACTCATATTCTTTTCAAACCCTTTAGCCGCTTTTTAACTCTTCTTGCTGAAAGAGTAGTGTAATGGCATGTGAAATGGTATTAAGAAAGATTGGCAGAGAAAAAACACAGAGTTACTTTACGCAACAAATTTTCAGTAATGGCTCAGTATGGTTTCTGGAACACTGTTTTCTTGCAGACAAACCGCACAACAGCTAGGATTTTCCCAGCTGTGCCGGACGTTGAGAACCCAGAGTTCAAGCGGAAGTTGGATCGGATGGTAGAAATTAATGAGAAGCTGATGGCGGTAGGGGACAGCGAGGACATTTCGTTGGTGAAGAACTTTAAGAGGATCCCACTTATTGCTGCACTAGCTTCTGAGCTTTTGGCTGCATATCTCATGCCTCCCATTGAATCCGGATCGGTTGATTTTGCAGAGTTTGAACCCCGGCTTGTTTACTGATTTTTTTGGCAGAAGTCCCAGTACCATGTTGTTCTGTGTGAATTTGCTTCTGACTATGAGCACAAGTGATACTTGTAGAAACTGAGTAAAACATTGTTGTTATGAGAGAACCCCTTGTATTCTGTAATCATAGACTTATTTTATCAAGTGTACCTACCATGGGCTTTACAATTTATTACCAAATTGCCAGTGCAATTTCCATGTTTTGCATCAAGATTCAAATCTATGGACTGGGTAGTGTGCGTGCCAGGGGTGACCTGTGAACAAGACTGTAGATCAATATTTTGCATTTCTAATGTGTTAATAGCTATTAACCAATGTGGTTCCACTTAGTGAATTGGTGCAAGAAAAAGTATATGCGCACACAAGCATACGGCCACACACACACAAGCGTACGGCCATACAGGTACAATATGATAAACATTTAAACGAGGTTGATATTCTTTGCTGCGCGCGTAGATTCATGTTGTGTTTTGGAGTTACCAAATCAACCCATTTTGTTGGTAACACTTGTTGCTCCTAAACCTAGCTTCAATAAACTTCAACTAGAATCAGCAAAGGGTTATCTAGCCTTGCTAGGGGTCATAGCTTCTGGTAATACATATTCTAATTGGCAAGAAATGAAAATTATACTTTTTCAGGTCGACTCCAATTTGAAAATTCGCTACTATTTTTTAAAATTAACAATTTTTGTTCCCACTCAGCAATACTAGTCGTGCACTTTCATTTTTCGGTTTCAATTATTGTTAAGTCCTTGGGCGGTCCTCTAAATTCTAAAAAAGTTGATCAAATAATGCTTTTCAACTCTTTGCTCCTGTAGATTGATGTGTGTGTGTGTGTGTGTGTGTGTTTATATATATATATATAGAGAGAGAGAGAGAGAGAGAGAGAGAGAGATTGAATTGGAGAGAGCTTCAATTGGTTGGAATACAAACACTGAATACAAATTTGTATTACAGTATATTTACAAATCAGGTGACCCGAAGGAATTCAAATGCGAAAGAGTGACTTCCTTTGGTCGGATTTCAATCTTCAGTCAGTTTCTAAATGTTAACAACCGCTTCAATGCCTAACAGTTTGACCATCCATCATTATCAACATCAAAGTGGAAAACCATTTAGTCTGATTTCTGAGTCTTCATGTTTGCCTTGTCCTCTTTTAGTGGCTGAACCAGTAACCTAAATGTCCATACTGCCAGTAGAGTTGCCTCTATTGGGGCAAGCCAGTAAACAAGTATATGCTCCTTGGTTATATGATCCCCGTGAGCAAAAGCCCACCCCATTACCTAAGAAACGCAGAAACCATGAATCCAACTTTACTCAAGTTTTGAATGTAAAACAACTTCATCAGAATAGATTTATAAAAATCGGTAAAAGTACTTACAGAGGCTGGGTTCATACATCCACCAGTTAGATCGGAACCAAGTATATGGAGAGCGAGCTTGGAAACACTGGATATCCAAGTTTTCATGTAGAAACTTCCAGGGATGTTTCTAGCAAGTCCAAGCGAGATGGTGACAATTGCAAATGTCAGAAGACCTTCTGTTAAGGCACCATGATGGATTTCAACATTCAGGCGCGGCCCATGTCCAATCTCAGGGAAGGTATCCATGATGAGCCTAACCCCAGTAATAGATCCAATAACCTAAAAAGAGATATAAAGGAATCTAAACGAGAATGATAAATAATCTATATGTTGAGATTTGGAGAACAAGTATAAAATTTGCAGTAGAAAAATTATACAACTTCCAAGAATTTGAATTGCTGAGTCATTTATTTCAAAAAATAAGATTGATTGTTTCTAAACCTTTTTTAAATGGCAAGACATGCCATAAGAAGTCATTTTTTTTCCTACACAAAATTTTCCTCTTTCAGCTGTGCTGTATTTTGCCAAAATCATGAGTCCATACATAACTTTAAATGTACAAGCCAGGTGCATCGGATATATTGTATTGCTACACCCAATCTTTTAAAGAAAAGTCTTTTTTGAGTGGAATTACATTTTCCTCTTTCTTCTGATCAAGGTATGTAAGGAACACAACTACATAAATGACAATCATTCACTGTCCTAATGATGGACAAGCAATAAGAATAAAAAACATCAGACAGGAGACGTGATTACTGAAGATTTAAGCAATCTACTAATCAAGTTTATTGATTTGTGCATGTCATCCATGTGCAGGAGCCATGCTAACATAAAGGAAATATTAGAGATCTAGATTTTAAAGAACCAATGCCTGGAATTACATAGAATGAATAATCCACTCCAAATCAACTCTTAGTCCCCACTTCTACTGCTAGTTCCCCGTTTTCAAAAACTCTGTACCATCTCTCATTCCAGTAATACCAACAGAGCAGTTGCACCATGTTTCACTTGAACAATAATGTCAAGCAGGATTATGCTTAGAGGGATTTAACTTTATAGTTTCACATGATTTCTTATCAACATATTTACCATTAGAAGGTTTTTCCATTACTTCCTCAGAATTGTAGTTTAGATTTCCTATCACACTTCAAATTAGGGAAGCTGTTATCAATCTTTAAAGTTTAAGAATTCATTTAACTCCTTTGACTGCCTAGTCTCTTGTTCTAAAGCTTTTATTTGCTAAATAACATATCTTTAAGTTTAACAACTATAATTGTGAAATCAGTAATTTTTAACATGTGTTTTGTAGAATCAAATTTCATTACTTCTAAATTATCCAACAATTCAGAATTTTCTAGTTTTATGTTGAGAAAATAATTATGTAATTTAGCAAAAGTAAGCCTAAATATATCATCTTCATAATTATCAAAATATGATTCTAATCAAGATTTAGAATAAAAAAATTCATTATCATAGGCATCACAAGTAATATAGTCATTCTTAAGTAAAATTTTCTATATTTCCAGTCACTATCAAAACTATCAGTTAAACTAGACTTATGACTACCATGCATCAAATTAAAAAAGAAAGCAAAATCATTAGAATAAACTAAATCAATTGAGTCTAATTTTTTAATATCCATAAAATTTCCTAAAGGCCAACTCTCCGTGTTGAATAACCTGCTTTGATAGCAATTGAACAAACCAAAACTAATATACTCTGATAAGGGAACTAAGATGAGGAACTACCTGAAAAATAGACAAAGGTAACTACAAAAAAAGAGAGAACCATTTTTACTCATCAAAAAAAAAAATAAAAAAACAGAACCATTCTCTGCTACACTCCATATGAAGTATTAAAAGGGAAACCGAATTGGAAGAGAAATGCTAATCAACTCCATTAAGATGTACCAGATACATCATTTTGACACCTGATAGTGAATCTTTAGCCTGTAACCGCCTTCAATTATCACCTAAGGAAATTTAATTCTATGGTCAACCAATTCAATTAACTCCTCCGCTTATTTCTTGATTATTGACTTTTCTTTTACACAGTCAATCCCATGCCCCCCCCAAAAAAAAAAAAAATAATAAGAAAAAAAATAAGGATGGTTGTGTTACCTTGACAATCAAGGTAGAAACTTTGTCAAGACTATTTGGATGTGAATCCTAAAAGTATTTTATTAAACACTAGTAAATTCACCTTAACCATCGCATTGCAACAACTCTGAGATGCTTTGAAACAAGGGCAAGGGGCATCACATCTTCCTGGTACAAACTGGACAAAACTTGTGCATCTCTAACGAGCGTGGATAAAGAAGTTAGTTCACGACTCCTAGTAGACTTAGGGACTTAGAATATAGGAACATAAATAAGTAAAAGGCGAGTTGCCAGACACGGTGATTAGGAGAAGAATTAATATAGTGTGACTAAAAGGAACCAAGTAGGTAAGAGAAAAAGTTAGGAACAGGACTTTAACTCTATTATGCTGTAAAAGATATGCATAGAAATGCAGTAGGATAATCATTGGTAAGAATTTGAAAATAAATGATTGTTACTAAAAAAAAGGAATATGATAATAAAATATAGTAAATACAATGAGCGTTTACACACCCCAATTAAGAGTAAAGCAAAATTTTGGGAACATATGAAATAATTAAGTCAAGTAAACTTTGAAGAAGAGACTATTTATAAGAGAAGACTTCAATGGTGATGTAGGAAAATGTTGTGGAGAGTATGAGATGGTCAATGATGGCAACGGATTTGGAGATAGGAATCATGTTGTGGAGGCTATCCATGACTTTGTAGCAGTATATGATAACGATTACCTAATTCCATAAAGATGAACATGTAATAAACATTAAAAGTAAATTATATATGAACCAAATTGATTTTTCCTCTAACCAGAAAAGTTTATAAGATAACAGTCTTGGATGCGTACAGTCGTACACTAAATGAAAATAAAGAAAGAAAAGCAGCTTATAAATCCAAATACTATGCGGTTTAATTTGAAAGGGAAGGTAAAAAATATTGTACATAATAAGATGCTAAAAGAAATAACATTGCATTTAGAAGATGAAACTAATAAAAATAAAATGTAGAATAGGATGAATTTGAAAGTTCCATTAACATTGAAAGCCAAAAGGATCTCGTTTCAAAACTTCAATTGCTCACCTAACACACACACACACACATAGCTGAAGAGTTCTAGATCTTTAAAATTAACAAGCAAAGGGTAAGTAAATCGTAGATTCGTAGTAAAGAATTTAAAGCAAAACCAGAAAGAAAGAACTAATTATGTTAAATTTTAAATTCTGACTTCAATTCTGAACAGTTCTAGCTATTTTACATGATCATTCAGAGCTCAAATATGTAGAGAAAAACAAAAGCAAAGGCAGAAAAAAGCACTTTGAAGAAACTAAAGACTTTTGAGATTTCGCTGTAATTGCATAGTTTCATGTCTCCTTAACGTTGTGGCAATTGATGTAAGCTTCGAACAGTATAGGATAAGAAGGATGAGAAGCAATTTTGGCCTTGATTATACGACCCTTTTGAAATGACCACAATGCCCCTCGGGGTTTCCACACATGTTATATAACAGGGTTTTCTCGCACTTTACCCATACCCTTGAAGCAAAACCACAAAGGACTAATTAACAAAATGTAGGGAGTAAATTAAAGTTCAGGGGTTTTTGCACATTTTGTATATAACAAAGGGAGGGGAGGGGGGTGGTTGGTTTCTTTCACTTTACCCTAACTTAAAAAAGTTACTTTTAGAAGTTGTCAAATGATAACCATATGAGAAGTTTAAGCTTGGAAGAAAATTGTAATTTTAGGAAGATTAGAGAAAAAAAAGTGCATCGAGTAAGATGAAAAAAAGTAAAGGCTTTTGGAACCATATGACTCCTATTGAGGCTAAGAAGAGTTTAGGTGATGATTTGGTGTTGTGGGTAACAAAATCATCTAAGAAGCTAATCATTAATTAAAGAAATTTCCACTCCCAAGCATCAATCAATAAGCAAATTCAATCATTAACCCGTCAAAGGAAGCTAATTGAAATAGAATGCAGTTGTAACCCAATTCCAGCATAATACCAACCAGTTTAGACCATTCCAAATCACAGATTAACTAATCTTTTATCCGGTCAACGCAGTTGAATAATCAAACCCAATTGAGAAACAATTGGTTCGCTAAATGAATCTCTAAGGAAAAAATCCAAAGGAATCAAGGCAAAAACAAACATATACTTAAATCAATTCCACCAAAACAAACACCCATTTGTTCAATTTCATATCCTAATAAACTACAACAATATAACAAAAATAAAATAAAATAAAGGGTTGAGTGAACATCTAAATGGAGAGAAACAGACCTGAGCAGGAATTCTTGCACCAACAGTGAGGAGGAAGCGACTGAAATCCCCAGAGATGGCGCCAGAGAGCACAGTGAGGGGATTGTAGGCCCCACCTTTTGTGACCTTGCCCAAGTATGCAAAGAAGAACATATTGATGATGGATAGAGCACACTTGATGACTTCACCTTTGGTTTCATGCCCTAACCCTAGAACCTTGTTGACAAAGATCTTGTTAAGAACCCCTGACCATACCCACATGAAGGACATGATGAAATCTGAAACGATCAATCGAATTCCAACAGCCATGTGATTGAAGAAGAAGGAAGCTCGCTCTCTCTCTCAATTTATCTGGCTCTCTCTCTCTCTCTCTCTCTCTCTCTCTCTCTCAATTCGTTATGCCATCAATGCATTAGAAGGGGTTATTTGTGTTTGTTCGAGGGAAGACGTTCTCAGAGGTCCTCCAGTCTATTTCATGTTGGAAATTCGACTTTAGATGCTTGGGAGAGGTGTGGGACCATAACGAACGTTGCATGTTTAACATGTTGTCGGATTTTCGATTCCCTTTGTTGGTTTGCTTCCTCCCTTACTCGTACGTGTGAGTGTAATGTTATGGTTTATTACAACAGTAGTTAAAATTGGACTTTATTACAATGACACCCCTAATGGACACACAAAAGTTACTCATACCCTTCAAATTATATAATATAAGAAATAAAAATATAATATTATCCTGTTCAATATATTTTGATTCCTTGAATAATATAACTTGAAGGTATGTGTGAATTTTTCGCGTTGGCGGGTATCATTGTAATAAAGTCTAAACTACTATATGTAATAAAACCTCCACGGACTAAAAAAAAATACAATAAAAAAACCCTTTTATCTGTTCAACATTTGCAAATAGCACCTTCTTGTTAGTATGCTTTTAGTGACACTGTAAAATTACCTAAGTATCCTCATCGAACGGCAAAAAGGAAAACCCATCAAAATGCAACAAACTTCCCTCAACAATCACGATTTTACCAAAAAAAAAAGAAAAAGAAAAAAGAAAAAAGCTATTAATTTGGTAAAAGAGGTCAGGCCTTAAACTATTCAAAAAAATTATAATACATATATATGTGTACAAATGAAAATGCATATATATATATATATATATGAAATTAACAGGTAACTCATTTATAAAGAAACTAAATAAAAAGAAATAATTTAATTAACGGACAAATCAATAATTTAACATCACAAATGGCATAAATGGACTAATTTACAATTTTTTTTTGATAATTTAGAGGTTTTACTACGAGTATTTTGTATAAATATATGTGCGAGTTAATGACCATGTTTGGTTTTCAAATTGGATCATTAATGTGGGTTGTTAAAATCACCACGGATTGAATTGTTGTATTTTTGGACAAATTTTATAATGTTACGTTGATATGGATCATCTTCAATATTTTGTTTTTCCTAGATTAAGTATCTTCAATATTTTGTTTTTCCTAGCTTAAACTTAATCGCTTCAAAAACACCATATCATCAAATTTTATTTTATTTTTTTTTTTGGAATTAAATTGCATACGAAATCAAATATATTGTTTTTAATAGTTAGATGGAGGCTTGGATATACTCAAAGAAAAAAAATCGTTTGAATATGTTTTTTGTGATTAATTTGTTGTGTAGGTATTGGCTCATGGGGTTTATGTGTTTGAAACATAGCCAATTTTCAAAACATGTCTTCTAGATATTGTTCATCATATTATAAAATCGAATATATATATATGTGTGTGTGTGTGTGTGTGTGGAGGACCTCATGATGAGTTTTCATCATTTAAGAATATTATATGACTCATTGTCAATGTCATTATATATGCTTCTCTTAATACTCGTAGTTAATACACATAATCAGGTATGGTTCTGCCTTTGTATTTTTTCTTATGGTATGATATGATATGTACTATATATATACATACATACACACATACAAGAAACACAAATTGTTGAGTGGGAACAGCTGCACCCACCGAATCCAAGATGACTGATAACCTTTTATTTGTTTAAATATGATTTTGCTTTCGCCTTGCTATAAGATTAGAATCGTATTCTGTTCCCACCGAATCCAAGATGACTCCACCATTTTACATGATATTCTTTTATTTGTTTAAATTTGATTTTGCTTTGCCTGGCTATAAGATTTAGAATCGTATAGCAAGAGTTTATGTAGTTTCGACGGGGCATAAAATTTCATTGGGCCAAATTCAGCCCAGCCAACCAGTTAAGGAAAGGGCCCACTGGCCCCCCAGCTCACTTACTCTCATTTGAGACCTGTGCTGACTGAGAGTAAGGCCCAAGAAGAGATCGAGCCCGTTTAGGAGGGATAAAGCCCATATTATCCCAAGGTTCAGAAAGAAAAAAGGATTCTTATGATAAAAATAGACTTTAATAAATAGAAAAATATATATATATATAAATATTCCATTGAAGTATAATAAATTTATTTTTCTATTAGAAAGAGCAGTTTCTTGCACATTCAAAATATAATATAATATATATATTTTTTTGTCGGGAAGATCAAAAACCAATAATTTATTGATGAGATAGTATCACAAAGAGATTAGAGATGAAAAGCAACAAGTGTCTACAAAGTTCATTCTGAACAAAGGTACACGTACATAGATAAGTAAAAATAAGTTGTTCCTTCTTATTTTATAATCCATCACACATGACATGGCATAACCAATAATTTATTGATAAGATATGAGGATGAAGATGAAGTTATATATGGTAGGGTATATATATATATAATATTTAGGTCAAAGGCAGAAATTGAAAAAAATATATGTAGGTTCCACGTGTAAGAAAAATGGTCTTATTATTATTAATTTTAATTTTTATTTAAATAATTTTATAATATTCATATTTAAGAGATGTGACTGTTATCATATAGCTACAGTTTATTTACAAAGGGGTGTGTTGGTTGATGGAACCAACATGTCTCTTTTTGGTAATTTTTAGAAACGGTCCCAACCCTCTATATATATACGTAAAAGAGAGTTTGAATCCATCGTTCAGTTTCACAAGCAAAAATAGAGGGTTAAAGAGTGTTTCTATATTGTAGAGTGTTTCTGTATTGCACTGTTTCTCTAATAGTTCATCTCAAATACAAACAGCTAAAGGTGGCAGGTATGTTTTTCTAAATAACGTTTTATGCATTGGAACCATGTATTTAATATTGATGAATATCTTACATGTGGTATCAGAGCTAGACATGGATTCTAATATATAAATCCATTTTATTTTCATCAGTATATTATTAGTTTAGTTTATATGAAATTTATATATTATATTTAATTATACGTACAGTATTTTGTTTCTTATATGTGCACACACACACACATATATATATGAATCTATAAAATAGATACAGTAAATATATTGTACGTGATAGGACACTGATATATTATGATATATTGTACGTGATACGACACTGTTATATTGTGATATATTATCTGTTTTGTTGGTACCAATGTCTCACGTATGCATATATACATATATGTTAGTCAATGATTGAAACTTCTAATTCTACCAAATCCCATATATACAAATAGTGTTTGTGTTATATTAATTAGATATGTTATGAGTACATGATGACATATTACATCACTTTGGGACAATCACATTTAATATTGAATCATTAGCATATATGATTGATATGTTAACTTTTGCTAATTATATATATATATATATATATATATATATATGTATATATATATTTTTAAGTGATCATCTATGATTATCATATACATATTGAAATTGGATATTATTTATAAATGTATTGAAATTGGCAACATATACATTATTATGCATATTGCCTTATGTTTATATTGATGCATATTGTGTATATTAAATTGGATTCATTTGAGAAAATTAAATCATTTAACAATCTTAAGGATAAATATTCTTGAAATTGGAATGTATGTTTAATCACCAAAATGGCACACTCATGACAATTTCAATAGTATTTGGATCTAGTAGTAAAATTATAATTTTTGCTAAAGTAAAAGGATTGGAATTGCGTTTAGTTGAGAAGAACAATAATCTAACCCAAAGGTGGATTATTGAGATTTGTCTAATTAAACGGATTGAGATAATTAATGTAGAAAATATAATAGTTAATATACTATTCCCAAAGGAATTTATTTTTGATATTGTATTATCTATGATTAATTAGTTTCAAATGTGAAATTTGTTTCACTAGTGGGAGACTAACATTTAACAATATTGGCCCAAAGGAAATATTGTTGAATGTGATGTTGATCCCATTCGGAGTCAATTATTTTGAGGCATTACTTATTGATTCTGGAAAGTTTGATTGTTTTCCTATCAATTAAACTATTTAATTATGGCCTTAATTATTTTGATTTTATGTAAATTATATTTTATGTTATTGTTGCATGGCAGTTGGTTCATTACCTTGTGTGAAGGCCCTGACTGGGTCTAATTTCTCGGACTGGAAAGATGAAATAATTTTTAATTTGGGACTTGGGGATTTAGACTTAGCCATTAGGTCAGATGAACCACCTAAGCCTACAGACTTTAGTGGTGCAGAGGTGAAAAAGGAATGGGATAAATGGGACAGGTCTAATAGAATTAGTCTAATGTATATTAAGAATAATATTCCTAAATATATTAGGGGTGCCATTCCTGATAAACCATTGGCTAAGGATTACCTTAAGGCTCTAAAAGAACATTTTACTATTTCGACTAAATCACTGGCTAGCACTCTTATGACCCAATTAGTAACCGCAAAATATGATGGTCTTAGTGGTGTGCGTGAGCATATCATGCAAATGACTGATATTGCATGTCAATTGAAAAATATGAATATGGAAGTTAGTGACTCTTTTCTAATCCACTTTATTATGATTTCTCTTCCTGCTCAATTCGATATTTTTAAGATTACTTATAATACGCAGAAAGATAAGTGGAAATTAACAGAACTAATTAGTATGTGTGCACAAGAGGAAGAGCGAACCCAACACAATAAGCCCGATATGGCACATATCGTGGATCAGAAAACAGTCAAGAAAAGTAATAAAAAAGCTGGAGAAAAGGGTATAAAGGTTAATGATGTTGAACCCAGTCAGACACATAAAGTGGGGAAAAAGAAAGTTCAATACTTTTGGTGTCACAAGTGAGGCCATGTCAAAAAGGAATGCTTTAGTTACAAAAACTGGTTAGCAAAGAAAGGTAATACCCATTGTTTAGTGTGTTCAGAATCTAATTTAGCCATTGTTCCGCCAAATATTTGGTGGATTGATTCCGGGGCTACTATTCATATTTCTAATTCCTTGCAGGATTCATAAGGAGCCGGAAAATCAATCCCAACCAAAGGACACTCACCATGGGTAATGGGGTAGAAGCACAAGTTAAAGCTGTGGGAGTTGTTCATCTTGTCCTTAGTAGTGGTTTTGTATTAGAGTTA